TAGTCTGAAGGGCCAAGCAACAGAAAGAACACTACTACCAAGTACACAAAAGATGAACAAATGTTGGAACAAAATCAAAAGAAACAAACATAAGTTTGGAACTCAATCAGATGCTTTACTAATGATTAAACACAATGTGTGACAGATTTAATTGATCACTACAAACAGTAGAAAGATATTTATTCACAAAGAATATATCTATGATCAATACATAAAGGATATCATTAACTATTTGAAGTTCAAACAATGTCATAACAGTGTATTCTTCATTAACAGCCTTGCTTGAAGCTTGTGCCCATCACAAAAGAATAAAGATTAATAAACGAAACAGAAACGAAACATAATAGCTCAAATACTTTTGTCATCAAACAGAAGACAAATGATACTGAGCAAAACGAAATAATACACTACTTAATGTATGCAAATATAATGAACAAAATATGCAAACTTAACATTGCTAAACAATACAATGAATTATATTTATCCAAATAACAAACTATTCAGATGTATGCATAACAATCAAACAAAATACATGAGCATACATACAATCTATTTGAGTATAAACTCAAATAACATTCAGTATAATGCCAAAAAGAATTAATAACTAAATCAGACAAAGATAACAAATAACATTAAAATTATTCAACAAAACACATTCACACATTCACATACAATGCTTAAACAAATAATAGAATGATGAAAACGTACAAACAAATCGATTATACACAAAAGCCAATTACTCAAAGTGAACCTTCTCAAATTGAAGGGGAGTAATAACAGCATATATTCACAAAACATAAAACATAACAAACAAACGATTGAAACATAGCAAACAATTAAATGATGTGGAAATATTGACTACATCACTATTTAACCTTACACATCCCACAAAATATATTTACAAAACAATCCATTGAATCTGAAATGATTCTAATGTCTAAAATGTATATTTGATGTTGTAAAAACACTTATATTATAGACAGCAAGAGACATTTTCTCTAAAAACTTTGATGGTTACACTATACATAACACTATTGAACAAATTATGAAAGAATATATTACAGATTATATACCTAAACACAGAGAAGTATGCTAAATGCAACAATGTTGAGCAGAAAAGCATCTCTAGTGTATATCAAACTATACAGAATTATTGAACAGAACTACGTCTTCCACAATGGAACATATGTTACAGTGAAAATAACAATCACACATCATGCAAAACTTCCAACACTTATTCTCTAACATGCAGGACATAATAGCAAACAAATAATTAAATAAACAAAATAATATTCAGACAGATAACTGAAAATTAAGGCAATGAAGCCAAGGAATGGCACATATTCCCAAAGTGATCTACACTAGATGTGTAAAGCACTCACTAAAATTAAAAGAAGCAACAGACATAATGGTGATCAAAACGTTAATCCTTTCAAATAAAACAAGATAATGTTAATCATAATGAACAAAAATGAGCAATACACTCAAAATAAACGAAATAAATTCATATTTCATAACAAACACACACATATATTCAGCAAATAAAGCAAATATAATAATTAAAACAATATCAAACAGAATTTGATACAAAATAAACAATAAACAAATGAATATTACAATATACAATGAAAAATAGAACTACAAAACACACTATTTCATCTATCTACAAAATAAAAACAACAAACACATATTAAAATTGTGTAAAGCAATATATATTAATCAAATAACATTATACAATAATAATAAAAACATTATCACAACAATAAAACAATACAAACATACAAATAACATTATAGTTTGTAAAGTTGAAGGACACATTAAACAATAACAAACACAATGCACACATATAACAATATCAAATATATCTATTGCAAAACAGCAAAACAATACAAACATACCATATGTTTAAAACATAAATAATGTGCCTAAACAGACTTACAAACAGTCAGATAATAAAATAAAACAAATTACAATGAATAAAACCTTAATCAACCTTGATATGAAGCAATCTGACATATCATAAATGATATTATGAATTGCAAACAATACAATGCTTCAATATAAAGGCATAGAACTATTATTAAATGCTTAAAAGGTATGAATACAAAACGAACACAAACAAAGATGATACATGATGAATAGAGGACATTATAATAACATCAACAGCACATTTTACAAGCATGATTCAACAGTTTCATTGTGAAAGTAAAAGTGGAAAAACTACTAGTAACATAATTCAAATGTGCAAAAATACAAATTAATGAGAACAAATTAATAACATGCATATTGTTATTAAATATAGTATTAACTATACAAACAAAACAATACAAACGAATTACAATGATAATTACACATTGAGTGTAAGAATACAAAACAAACTACACATATAATAATACAAATACAAACAGAACGAATAATGGAACAACTGCAGAACAATACAGTATGATAAAATAAACATACTATGACACAAAACAAACAATATGACATGAAAAACAAACGAAACAAAGTTATATCATATCATAATATATTACAGACAAGAAGAACTACTATCATACAAATGATAAAACATTATAGTAACAACTATAACATTAACAATAATAAAACTATGAACAAATGAATGCTAAAGAGATCCTACAGCTCTCTTAGCAATCATAATTGAATTAACAATCGATTTATTACATTGAACATAATAATAATACATTGGACAAACATAACACTTACAGTGGACTTAATATATGAAGCAAACAAAACATTTACATTGTGAATGTAAATGATATTAGTAAAAAACAATGGACAAACACTTATCAAACATTATATTAGTCTGATCAACTAGTATAAGTTTGAAGGGGAGTGTTAACATTTATTTCAGATAAATGTATCATATGTCTCAAATCATGCAAATGTCTTGCAAATATACACTATTGCTGAGACATGTCTTCTGAGACATACATCTGAGACATACAATATTAGATAGCTTATATATAACTTTAATCTAAGGACAATGAAGCTCATCACAAACTATACAGTTGACTCATATCAACACCTACACACTATGAGCAGAGTCCACTGAACCCCTACTAGTGTGACTAACTCTTAGTATCCTTGTGAGCAGTGTGCAAACCTACAGAAGAATATTTCCTATTGTTTAGGAAACATTGCAACCTTAACACACTAACAGAAATAATAAGACATTAGATGTTTAAGACATACAGACAAACAAATAACATAAAAACAAACAACTTATTAACTAAATACATATTATTATCAGGGTCTACACCCTCATTACTTGTGTAATAACCTAAGAAAACACATTCTAACATACTCTCTAATATGTAACACTCTGTTAATTCTTTCTAACCTCTAATACACTTGTTAGCTTTACAATATTTGTTCTTATTATTTCTTTCATCTTATTCTTAAGTTTTATTCCTTACTTTACTCTTGTTATTTAGTTATTATAAAAAGCAGTCTGTAAATATAGTAGTTCCTTAGTTTTTAGACTCTTCTTGTATTCCTACTTGTTCTCTTAGTATAAATCCTAACTGGTAACTTTGAGAATATAGTTGAATCAGGACTATATGTCTATATTCACAGTTTGAGAGTACTATTAACTTAGAGAACATATCTCTCTTAATACTCAAAGGTTAGAGCTAGTATATATAAGCTTAAACTATTTAAGAATAGTTAATTCATCTAGTGTTTAATAAGATTCTGCTCAAACCATATTTTCCTTAAGTTTTTAACATTCAGAAGGCTTCTCCTTCTCCTTCTTCTAAACTTGTAGACAATAAGATCAAATACAAAGTTAAGACTATTCTTAACTCTCAACTCTATAAGGGGAAGCTTTAGTATCTTATCAAATGGGTAGGATACTAGGAAACAACTTGGCAGTCTGAAAATGACCTTACTCATACTTAGAATACTATTAGGAACTTTTATAAAGTCTACCCTAGTACTCTAAGACAACTAAACATTCTAAAGAGAACCTTTAAGGACTTTAACACTTTACTTAAACTAAATAGCCTCTAGATTCAGTTGTCTAAGACATATAACCTAAGGAGGGAGGTAATGTTAGGATTGTAGAATTGGACCTATTTTCTTTTCTTTATATTTCTGTCAGTTTTGTGAAAAACCAATATTACTACTAGATTTTTCATAATTCTTAATATCTTATTTATTGTTCTACAAAGTTTTATAAAGATTGTCTTAGTATTGAGTGTAGGAGAGAGCTACAGAGACACAAGGCAGTATATACAATCACAATACAGTCAATCCATTTCCTGTCTAATATAGTAACTTGTGCCTCTTTTGTGTAATAGTCTCTTAGTCTATATTCTCTAATGTGTAACACTCTGTTAATTCTTCCTGGCCTTTAATGTGTCTGTTAGCTTTGTAATATTTGTCCTTATTATTTCTTTCATCTTATTCTCAAGTTTCATTCCTCACTTTGCTCTTGTTATTTAGTTATTATAAAAAGTAGTCTGTAGATACAGTAGTTTCTTAGTTTTTTAAATCTTCTCATACTTCTACTTGTTCTCTTAGTATAAATCCTAACTGGTAGCTTTGGGAATATAGTTGGATCAGGGTTGTAGGTCTATATTTGCAGTTTGAGAGTACTATCAACCTAGAGAACATATCTCCCCTAATAGTCTCTAAGATTCTAACTAATGTATTAGCACCTTTAGAAAATTTAATACTAATTATTTTCAAATAAAAGTTGGCATAATTACTTATATATAATGAAAGAATATTTACCCAATTTTTATTCTAATTTTTATTGTGTACTTACACAACAATTATAACAAGAAACTTTTAAGATAGTAAAATTTATTACTGTTTTTAGAGTATTTAACACATAATTCAATGAATATTACATTAAATTTCACCAAAATTTCTTCAGTGTTATATTTTACCATCTGAAGTATATATATATAGTTTTTATTACTTGAAAAATAGTTGTGGAAGAAATAGAGAGGTGGTGGTGTAAGGAGTAGGGGTGGTGCAAGGAGTAGGGGTGGTGCAAGGACTGGTTCATAACTGTAAATATAGAATAGAGTAATCAAGGAAAAGCAGGAAAACATGTCTATTAATATTCTATTAAAAGAAATCACAGAAGCCTTAATGTAAGAGCTTGTTCAAGACTGTGATTAATCAGCTTGAGAAAAAACAAAGTACACTTACACTAGAGTGGAAGAAACAGAATAAAATGAAGTGGTTCTTGAAGATGGAAGAGTGAAAAAAAAATACTCACCGGCCGGTTTCTTTCATATGGGCGTTAAAGCGCACCAGGTGTGCTGTAATTATTAATGAGAGGAAGGCGGATCTCGGGAATGATCGGTCTTTAGAAATTAGATGTGAACGCGCCTCGTGTAGATGATGTAGATCATCACCATCATCCTTTACCAACAGTTGAACAGAGCCAGTGATCGTCTAACAGTAAGATCGTTACATTCAACCAACCAAACAAAAGTACGCAGTACTATTCAAACTACACACCGGCGGGAAAGGAAGATGAGGTAGGGCGGGATCATTCATCATGATTACCCGTTTCACAGGACGCGCTAGCTGGCAAGTTTTGAATGGTTGAAGCGAGGAAGCGCATGGGGGCAAGGCAATGAGAAGTCTAGATGACAGATCGACTTGATATCTTTCCTGGCTTCTGGCTTCCCTCTCTCCCTTTTTCCTATGGGTGTAGATCTGTCTGATCCACAGTTTGCCGCCGCTGCATACATACATACATACATACATACATACATCATTGTATTGCGTGCGTGAGAGGGAGAGCGCCAATCTCCAGGCAGGCTTCTCGCCTCCCTTTCTCCCACTGGACCTGACTACTTGACATCTTTGAAATCGTACAAATAGACAAGTTGGGTGCCTCAGGATGAGTGCAGTCGGTCAGACGAAAGGAGCTGCAGCGAGAAACCAAAAGCCACAGTTTATCCCCCAGCAAGAAAATCAACGCCGAGTGAAGACCGAACAAGCCGCAGATTAGCCCCGCAGGACGTGGTGAGACGTGAGTGTCAGTGTGTGAGTACGGCACGGCGTCGGAAAGGTTAGCGCCGATCAGGGTGCAACTGCCGTATATGGAAGGAGTCTAGGCACTTGTTACAGGAACGCGAGGCAGCGGAAGAGGATGAATGAATATAATTTTCGCTTCGCTGAGACAGAACACGGGAAAAAGGAAAGACGCCTCAAGTCTCTTCTCCCTTGTCCTCTGCCCACCACCACGCAGACAACACTAAGACGGTCGCCGTTCTGTGCTGAAGCTCTGGCGCTCGCAGCTTGAAGAGTTGAAGCTCACAGATTGTCCAAAGGACTACCACACTCGTTATACACACGCTCCCTATTCCAACCAATCATTGCTCTTTGGTTCTCTAGTGGTTCCGTCCTCAACACAGGTCATAGGTCATACGGCACCATATTCAGCTCTTACACTCGGACTGGCAAGGTTCTAGAATCTGGACTTCGCCGAAGAACTGCTGCCACATCGACTGCCAGCATTCATCCATCCATCTATCAGTCCTGATTCTCCTGTTCACCGCCTCTTAAATCTGTATCAGCTCTCTTCCCGTTCTGATTCTTCGGAAGACCTGGGATCTTTGAAAAAGTGAAGAGATGTTCACACCTCCTCCTTCGCCCCTTCCTCTCCCTCGTATCGTCATCACAGACGACGATTCAGAGTCAAGTGCGGAGAAAGAAGTCAACGTCTTCGAGTTGTCCTTATCACCTCCGTCCCCCTCACGTGGCCACTCGGATCAAGACGAAAAGCATATGTACGCGACACAGGCGGCGGCAATCGAGGCTATCATTTGCAGTCATGAACGAAAGCAGCGATCGGCGCGTCGGATGCGTTGGGCCGTCCTCCTCGTCCCTGCCGTGCTCATTCTCGTCGCGTTAAGTTCGCGGCGTGCCTCGATGTTTGATGCCATGGACGATATGGATCTCGACTCTCGCGTGGCGATGGATGGGTTAAATAGCGCGACTGCTGCAGATAGTGAAAGCGGTACGTCTCCGGAGGTCGAGATCAGATGGCAAGGTGCACCTGCCGAGCAGCGACACGACCAAATGTACCATCACAAACGCCAAACTCTCTCCCTGACCAACCCCGCCGCACCCTCATCTACCATTCTCGTAACCACTCCTCTTGTATCGATTTCCGGTTCCGGTGCCCCCTCGCAAACTGCATCTCCAACAACAACAGTCCCACAAACCGAGCAAACCATCCCTCCCGTACCAGATGCAGCAAACGCTCCACCATTACCAACGCCCTTTCCACAACCGTACGACTCAACGGGCACGAATTTCGTCACGACGCAGACTTGCGCCAATTTCTTTACGAATATGACGCAATCGTCTGCGTTTCGGACGTGCAGACCTTTTAGCTTGTTAGAGCAGTTTAGTAATGATTTTATCGAGGTTCGTGATTCAAAATCATGTTTCTCTCAAAGTTGATCTCGGTATAAACCCCGTTTCTCTCTCTCTTTTCTTTCGTTTACCTTAATCTATTTTTTTTTCATTTTCTATCCTATTCCCTTTCCTTTTATTTTTGGCACACGACTAATTTGACATTACCAGCAGGCTCAGGAAAACCTCACCACGCTCAACGCACTGATCTACGGAACCTGCAACACCGATACACCCCTTTCGACATGTACAGCCAATATGAACTGGTTCGCTTCCTCACTCACCACCTCATGCGCCGATGAACTCAAACAGAAGAACTCGCAAAATCCCGTTCAACAAACCTTATTCGGATTACAGTCGTATGAACTACTAAGGAATGGCTCGTGTTTGGTGAACCAAGCGTCGAACACTTATTGCTACGCCGCTGCTGCACATTCATCCTCTCCAGCAGACCTTTACCTGTATCAATTGCCGCTGGGTGTACCGTTCCCGGTGAATACGACGAGCCCGAGTTGTAGTACGTGTGCGAAGACTTTGTTGGGATTATATGCGGATGCTTTGCAGGGTTCGGATGGGAGTTCGGATGGAAGTGGTGATGGGGGGAGTGTAGATGGATTGAAGGCGACATATGAGGATGCGGCGAACCAGGCGGAGACTGCGTGTGGGACTGGGTATGCGCTTGTGGGGCTTGCTAGTAGTGCGCAGGGAACAAGAATTGGCATACCTAAGATGGGAATGGGAAGAGGAATGGTACTTGCGCTAATGGTTTGGGCTTTGGTGGAGGTGTTGGTGTGGTTATGAGACCTCATCAGTCGGACTTGGACCGCGATAATTTCGATGGCTATGAAAAAAATTGGATCCGGATTGCACCTCACAGCGAGGTCGGTCCTTGCTCGCATCCTACTGCCTAATCTCACGAAAACGCACGACTACCTTACCTTCCTCTCGCATTTGTACATATAATGCACCGCACGCCTCCCACTTCTATCTTGCCGGATGTCCTTTAGTGCCATCCCGCTTTTCAGCTTTTTCTGCCCTCTGCGTCCTTCCTTCGGGTTTATCAGGGTACAGGCATACATGCACGACTTACACACAACGATTTTTCGGACTCTCGTTTTTGGGATTGGACTGTGATAACTAATAAGTAATATTCTTCCTTTCCTTTTCCTTTTTTCCTCGATTTTTGGAGTCCCTTTCCTGTCCTTCCTGTCCTCTCTCCTCCAAAGCTGGATCTGGTTTGCTGAGTACCTTATCAGTTTATCAGTATATTCTTATTCCATTTTCTATACGAGTTCTACAAGCTCGACACCTCCCCTCCACTTTTTAACTTCCTCAATCTCACTGCTGACAACAAGACGTATATTTGTCTTACCCTCTTACCCTCACTTCCCTCTTCTTGGCTGGCTCATCTATTTGTTTGCTTGTCGAGTTGCTTTCGTGTCGGATCGGTGTCCATTTATCCGCTTATCCGTCTGTCTGTTCTTCTCTCCTATTCCTATTTTTCTTTATTTGATCGTCTTGGTTTGGGCTGCTTGGAATTTTGGATTTCCTTTTTCTTCTTGGATCTCGTTGGCTGGTTTATTCTTCATTCCTGTTTTGGTTGTTGCAATGTTTGTTCCTTTGTTGCAACTTCAATTTCAATTTGGCCTGGCTTTCTTAACCTTTTTTTGTATGACGCGAATTGAGCATGTATCTCATATATATTCATTCACTCATTCCAAATCTAAATTCGTTCTCGTTCGAGAATCAATATTCGGCATTGGGATATACACTTACATCAAGCTGGTAAGATGAGGCAAGTGTGGGGGCTTGAACACGGAAATAGCTGCTTGCTGTTCCTCCGTTCTGGTCCTGACAGAAGCCTTGTATCGACGAATTATACAAATTGCATATGGTTAAACCACTTATAGAGGATAGTATGTCAAGAAGGCCCAGCCAGAGCATACTACTCTCCTTTTCAATGTCTGTAAAGTTGTTACGCATTTCATATAACTAGAGATTCAGGAGGATCTGGAATGTTAATGTGGCTAGATGATACAGCTTGAAGGCTCGAACCCATAAGTAATATTACTACAATATTACGACAAGACTTCTTCCGTGTGCGACCGTGTTGATATACGTATACATGTTCGTAATGGATGTACGATTGCATTTTGCTACTGAAGATTCTTCTCAAATCCGTTTATTGTCCGTGCAGACGCATTTGTAGGTACAGAACTTTCCTATAATATTAATGTAAAGAATAGCTAACGAAGATTTCGAAGGAATATATGAAATCAAAGTACCGGATGAATGATAAGGGAAATATCGATAACACCACTGGTCCTGGCTTCTAATGACGAATATTAATATCAAACCAAGACATATAACAGACCATTCCGCATCATGGTACTGCTCAATATCAAACGCAGTTTTCATACACTTTACATACATATACCACATACAGTGAACCGCGTAAAGTGCGGAAATTAACATTAGTATCAGGATCAACGATGGAGATGGAAGGGAAGATACGGACGTGCGGCGAAAGAACAGTAGGCTCGCCTTCTTTCTCCTCTCCGTTGCTAAGTTTTCAATGAACAATTTTTTCTATGGAACGCGCTTTGAGCACGGCGACGTCTCCTTTAGGTCACATCTCGAATTTCATATTGGTGAGAAGACTTTGAGATTTCAGGGAAAGCGGAGGAGAATAGCGGAAACGAAATATAGCGGATAAACTAAGGTAAATCTTGCCCGAACCGTGGAAATCAGCCACATCTTCCGCAGTCAAAGCATAAATACAAATTGCAGCAGAATAACAAGTTGGAGAACCGAATCCATGTACAGTGTAGCTATTAATAGAAATATGTAATAAACATTGCCACAGGAGAACACGTATATGCACTATTGATCAGACAATTGTAAAGTTCTTCCTTGACCCGAAGGCGGGTCAAAGACGTGATTTAGATGGGGAAGAGTAAATATAGATATACTATTGTGATTGTGATAGGCTGTCGGGACCCGGGAAGATCAAGTTATGGAGTTAAGGTCATAAAATGGAAACGATCATTGTTTAATATATTAATAGTGATGAAACAATGTTTTGTCCGATGTTGAGGCTGATGGCAATGATGGACGAGAGTATCCGCGTCAAAATGAAACTTAGGCAATGTGAGGTACGAATCGGTATGGCACTGCTTTGGCATATTCCTCCCACTCTTTGCCGAACGTCTCGCGTAGCGTAGCGTCCTCGCTCGGTGCACGTAAAATGAGGTACGTGCAGGCAAACGAAACCCAGCCGACGAAAAATGCGACGCCGCAGCGCACGGAGGCGAGTAGGATCCGTTGCGGGAGGTCCGAGGCACCGAAGAGTCCGGTCGAGTGCTGCTGAAGGGCGCCGCATGTGAGAACGAAACCGCCCGGAGCAAGGAGGAGCGCCACCATGCCGAAGCGCACGAGGACTTCGCCGGTGTAGGATGGGTGTCGCACAATATTGTATGGACCGCCCTTGACGAGCTGGTGCCCTGCGAGTGTTGTATGTGTGAACGAGAAAAGGCGGCCCATTGCTGCGAAACATGCGCGGCGGATTACATATCCGACGGAGATGGAGAGCAGACTAATGAAGACTGTAGGAGATGGTGCGGAGAGTAGGAGTTTCTGCGGCCGTGGTGGGCCTGGGACGGGCAAAATGGTGAATTCTGGAACGGGCGTGGGTAGGATAATCGGAAGGATAGCGCGCGAGATCGCCGTGTCAGGAAATTGAGAAAGTAATCGTGCTATCACTTCCAGTGCTATGAGTGCCCATACAACATACTAAAATTCGTGTTGAAAGGTCAGGATTAGTGATTGTTGTAGACAAGCAGTGTCAATGTCTCACTTTTGTTGCGGCGACGCATATCATGCCGACGCGATTGAATAGTCTATGACCATGAAGCGTTTCTTTGCCGCCAGGAGGTACCCTGTCCTTGCGTTCGTCCTGCGGGCGCAACAAGTGGTCCGAGGACTGTTGTGCAACACGCGGAGGCGTAGATGAGATATGGTGGGCAGCGCTTGCAGCAAGGAGCGAGGCAAGGTGAACGGCCACACCTGCGAAGGTCGTCATAGAGAATATCGGAGAGTACTCAAAGTGAGGTGGTGGTCGGTAAAAAGGTAGAAATGTTGGGAGATTTCTGCGTCGCTGGAGCTTTTCATCTCGCGCCCATGCCTATAAATATAATTGCATTTGATAGTTCGCGTCCATCTGAGTCATAAACAGGGTTCCCAAGGAAAATGACAAACTGAGGTATAAGGCGCGGCGGCGTCAGCGCAACTCCTCAGTTAACCACGTTTGACCGCGACACGCCTATCAGGAGATGGAATGAATCACAACCGTAAACGGCAAGCCATGGTGCTGACGGCACCCGACACATATATAGCACAGGAATTTCCATTAGCGCTCAATATAGTAGGAAAAGCTGTGCGATAGAAGGCTATACTTCAATTGCATGGTGTGTAGGGTCATTCGAAGCTTGGCAAAGCCGCTGTCCGCGAGCGTCGCGCGTGCGATAGTAGATGCTATACGAGATCTGGTTGCATATTTCCTATGGTCGCGGAAATTGACACATCATTAAATAATCTTCTGGCTGGTACTAGAAGAAAGAAGCAAGGTAAACGCACAGTGACGGCCTGGAAATGAGCTATAAGACTCAAAGAAGCAAACTAGTCAGACGCTTCAATGTTTAAAGGTGTCGAAAATTTCATCATAATCTGAGCCGAAGCACGTCTGAGCTGTCACGGTTATTTGTTGCTCTGCGCGTGCAGTAGGTCAGTTTCGACTAGTACATGCAGAACGTGCTATCCAATAGATGCTATTCTTACGTCGGACCAGCGAAGGTGTCAACTGAGCTACCAACATTGTCATGCATCAAGCGGCTCAAGGGCAACGGGTCAAGATGCCCGACTAGCGTGCACCGCCCTCCGATCCGCACGGAAAATGTTCGACATGTCCTGGTTATCGAAACGACCGAGTTCGGAACATTCGTCACCAACAGATGCTTTCGGAGCATCATATACATGGATGCAAAAGCTTCTGGGGCGCGTATCGCGCATATCCCGGCCGACTAATCGTGTTCGCGCCAAAAGGCGATCGAGGTAGCCATTGGGGATGTATAAATACGTCATTCATGATAGTTTAAGTAACGTAACTGATGTGATCGAAGTGGTGGCCAGATGCAACATACGGCTCATTTCCAACGATGCTCTGCAGCAAGACCTAGGGTATTACCAAAGTGGATTGATAGTGGCTTTCGTTCTCTTCGTGACATCATGAAACGGAATTAGACGCACCTTTTAACGAGTCCATAAAGTCTTGGCTGCATAAGGAAGCTTAAAGTGATTTACAAATATCGCTCGCGTGGCAACTCACATCTTGTTTTATGCCTATCACGCCAGATGTCTACAGTCGACATGTCTGCAGGTGATGCAGCGTTCAGTGCGGTGCAAGAATGCACTACACGTCGCGTGATGCACTGCACTCGGCAGAACAAGATTGTTAGATACAAGGAACTCAGATGATGCCCTCACAAACTTGCCTGAGGAGCGATCAAACTCGTATCACCTTGACTAGTTTTGACTGTTGCAAGACCAGAATTTAGGACCGACTACCAAGTGTACAGTATCCCAATTTCAACCACCGAGGCCCATTCGATGAAGCAGCACTTATAAATATGTGCAGTCGCTTTGCAGTGGCTTTTGCGATGACATTTACGACGACCGAAACGAGGAATGATATACGAATATCAACAACACTGTGCAGTTGAAGAAGTAGACGATGGATATCATACGACGCGTCGTGTCATTTCATTCGGAGATGCTATAAAGTGGGAACGGCTGCGGTATTTTCCAACGCCTCCGTACTGGATTATTCCTTCGAAAGTCTAGCAAGAGGTAACATTGGATCGTTAACGGGATGAAAAGTAGTAATTTGAAACAAAGGTAGTCATGTCATTAACACGGCACAACTGTAAGTCTGTAACACCTATGGAGGCACGTGATCGCACAATTTTTTGGTGTATTTACAGTTATTTGCTCCTTTTTTTCTCCCTGTAAGTCGTTACTTGCTAAATTGGTGTAACTTGCCAAACTCTTTACTTCTATCTCCAAACTCAGTTAAGAATGGATTAGTTCAGAGATATTTTCTCGTACGCTATGGATTACCCGAATAATTTTGTTGTGATCACTGCTGAAATCCGCTACATGTTTCTAGGTGAAGTGTCGTACTGCGGCTCTTAGTTCCTTGAAGACTATGCTATTCTGGGGTTCTGAAACGTTAGGAACCCGGAGCGAGATGCTGACTGATATTGTGCTGATGGCCAGAGATAGCTTCAATGAGGAAAGTCCACCGGTCTGTCTAAGCAACGATTCCTGTGCCGATATTACTGCGCAAACGGACTGAAAGATGCCTAAAGTTTCGCTTATTGTTAATTATTTATACGATAACATGCAAATATGTCTGTGGACACGCAAGACAAGGATAGAGCAGAACTAGATGACACAAGACTAGGACTGTCGCTCATGCTCGTCCTTATAGGCATACTCCCGCTCGCTATTAATTTAGACCTGACCTTGATGTTGATGAATATAACGTCTGCTCCTCGTCAACGCTACTTGGGGACGGTCCGTAGTAGACCTGATGAAGATAGATTGGTACGGGTGAGTATTCCGCCTTCATTTTCCACCAAAAAGTAAGAAGTTTGATAATCTCTCACCCCACCGTTACTCTCGTCAAAAATCTGTCCGGCCCGTTTCGTGAGCTTCTTTGTTATATCACCCTGATATTCGAGTCAGTTGACCTTTTTCCATGAAATATAAATAGCTTGCAGGTCCACGCAGACATAGAATGGCTGTGAACTGGATAATCGATTCGCTTCCACCAATTGTCTTTGCCTTTGTTTTTCTTCTCAGAGTGCGGGTGCGCGGACAAGAGAAGCAAAGATTACTTGTATTCTTGTTAGCAATGACTATTACTCAGCGGGACACGCTCCACTGCTTCGTCTGCATGATCACTCGGTATTAGTTCGCAGCTTGAAGTGGCTTGTGCTATTTGTTCCGTCTGGTGCACTTTACGTCTTGACCAACGCGGGTGTCCTGGGCAATCATGTCAGTCATGAAACCGTCTGCCCCAGCAAGCCGTCCTACGAGCCTCAAGGCCATCCTACTTGCAGTATTCATCGCGTTCGGTCAGAAGCGATAAGCTGTTATCTGGATAAGACATTAACCTATTTATGCGTTAGGAGGATTCCTTTTCGGATACGATATTGGAGTTATTTCTGTGAGTCGCTCCTTAGCTCATCGTCCTGTGTAGCTTAATGATGCGCTTAGGGATGTCTGATCATGCCTGACTTTGTGCGACGTTTCGGTGAACCGGACGGCGCAGGTGGCTTCGTGCTGTCGAGCTCACGCCAATCAATTATTACTTCCCTCTTATCAGCTGGGCACGTGTTCCCCTTACCCTGTAATTGGATATGTGAAATTAACACAATTCCTTCAGGACATTTGTTGGAGCGCTCGCTCAGGCATTCACTTCCGATCGCTTTGGTCGAAAAGGCTCGATTCTTATCTGGTCGGGAATATTCACTCTTGGTGTCGTTGTCCAAACCAGTACAGGCTTCTCAATTGTACAGATTACCATCGGTCGATTCATCGCTGGCACTGGTGTAGGTGCATTATCGGGTACGTCCTACCACCACTCTATAACAAGATCATGTATTGATTTCTATACAGCCATTGTACCCCTATATAATGGCGAAACTGCACCAAAGAAGATCCGTGGTGCAATCCTTGCTTTCTATCAAATCCAAATTATATCAGGGTTGAGTCCAGTCCGATCAATCTGCATACTAAACTTGTAACTAAATATTTAAAAAAGTGTTTTCTTTAGCTACGTCGTTGACCTCGCAACACATGCATTAAACAACTCTGCTTCTTGGCGTATTCCTGTCGGGCTACAGATGCTATGGGGACTTATCCTACTCTCCGGCATATTTTTCTTACCAGAATCACCGCGCCACCTGCTTGGTTTGCAACGACCAGACGATGCGCGGCGAGTTATTGCAGAGCTAAACTCTGTAGATGTAGACGATCCACTTGTACTTGACATGATTGAAGAGCTGGAGGTTGCAATTCGTGCAGAGAACGAGGGTGGCAAGGCAACTTGGATGGAGTGCTTCTCTACACGGAACAAATTATGGTGGCGTACCACGAATGGCATGATGCTTCAGTTCATTCAGCAATTGAACGGTCAGAACTTCTATTGTAAGTGTTGGCACCTATGATCGGGGAAAGCACTAAATGTATTTCCAGATTATTATGGAGATACATTTTTCAAGAGCGCAGGAACCCAGTGAGTTGTACTGTATCACTCTATTGTTCATGGCTAAGCAAGCTGCTTATTCAAAACCAGACTATCACCATACGTTATTCAAACGATTCTCGGGGCCGTTTCTGTTGTTGGTACTCTTCCAGCACCTTATCTTATCGAGACAATGGGGCGAAGATCGGTAGGAAGTCTCGTCCTTTCAACCTTTTCTCAACTTATGATGCTTTTCCAGTCTCTCCTTACGGGAGCTCTTATGGAAGCCGTTTGCGCCTTAATTGTTTGTTTAACTTCTCCTTCTGCAGACCTAGTGAATGCTGAAAGCTTTTTAGGCAGGAGTTGCTGGAGCGACAATGATACCTCCGCCCGGCGCCGACCTTACAAACATCACGCTCACACCTCGCAATAGGCAAGGTGGTGATATACTCATCGCATTCGCTGTTCTGCACGTCTTCAGCTTTGGCCTCTTTTGGGGCCCGACACCATGGGTCTATTTGGGCGAGTCTTTCCCTTTACGTGTCCGCCCGAAATGTATTGCCTTGGGAAGTGCTTCGAGTGAGCCGTTCTTTTCGTGCTGGCATTAACTGAACGTCTTTCCGACTGACTCAATATACGAAGATTGGATCTGGAACTTCCTGCTTTCGTTCTTTTCCCCGAGGATTGCTGCAAGGTCAGGTCTCTTCAAGCCATTGTTTCCCAAGTCATGTCCATTCTATCTACTAAAACTCGATTGGGTAATTGCGTACAGAATCGGACCGTGGATCCTTATGATTTTCTTCGGCATGCTCATCTTTGGGTTCGTCTACGTGTACTTCTTCATTCCTGAGGTTAAAGGCCTGAGTCTCGAGGAGGTTGATGAGCTGTATCGCTCTGGTGTCAAGCCATGGAATTCTGCCGGCTGGAAGCCTTCCGAAAAGCATCTCCACCGTCATGAGAGGGTTGAAAGTGCCAGCGACGAGGTGCGCGATGAGAAGAATAACGTTTAGCAATAGACACAACAGTTTCATGTCTCAGAAACCTTCCTCAACGATTGAATAAAGAAATAGTGGCAGATATGGGGTTATGCTAAAGTGGAATACGATTGTACTGTAGTATAACTGCACAACACGGATTCACAGAAGTAAAAAATAATTCATGAGCTGTGGAAATTTATAGCCTAAACAGGAAATCGATTGATCATGTGAAAGATTTATAAATTTCTGGGTGCCGATATAATGTTTTGCCCAGTGCGGCAATATTGTTTCTGTTTCAGATTGTTAACAAACTAGTACATCCAGCAACAGATGAATGATTGCTGTTCTTTTCCATCTCTGCTAATAAGTGTAGATCTACTTTGTGAGACTCAATCATCATCTCAAATCATTTGGAGGCATGATCGAGTGGTCTAAGATGTCAGATTTAAGTCCTGATGGGAGCAATCCCGCGTGGGTTCGAACCCCACTGCCTCCAATACCATTGTCTATGTTGGGTTTTTTAACTCGAATAATACCATTTTGTCCTGTATCAAGTCAGTACTAAACCTATCCTTTGCCAATATTGACACTTTTGGCTGATTATTTGTACATCAAAGATTGCAAGGCGCAACAGTAGCCCGTCGTCGTCATGCCGCATTCCGTCCCTAGCTTCATCTTTCGGAGAACGTCACGCCCACCAAACCCTCCAGCAGGGACAAGGACAAATCCATCTACAATAGCAGCACCAATAAATACTGATTCGTCGTTCGCGCAAATCGAATCGTGTCTTTTCTTACTAGTAATTCGACCACAGCAGTTTATGAATAACTCGTTAGTGTCTACATATGTCTTAGCCCATCCTCTCCACCAGCTGCTAGCGAGTCCCCCATTATCTGGAGCCGCTAACATGGTGCGCGATTCTCATCGATGAGGCCCAGTATTGTACTGTGATTATCGAGATGCTACAATTGCGGGTCGGCCAAAATTCGTCTGCGACCCGAATGAGCAATGCGTTTGATAGTATTGGGCTGCAGCCATCGATCTGGCCAGAATGTATCAGGAACTGGAGAGAAGTATGCCGGGTTGCGGAAGAGTGTAAATGGTAGGGCTCGGTACCGTACCGTATACGGATACGGGCCGTATAATACGACCCTTATACGGATACGGCTCGTATAATACGGTGCCGTATTTCTGAACCCGAAAACCTATACGGATACGGTACGGCCGTATACAGAACGTATACACCATATACGGATACGGCGTAGTTGCTACATTTACCAAGGTGGAGCATGAAATGTAAGGGGCTACATCATTGTGATATTACCTCTTTAGTATAGAAATATTGAATTCTACCTATATTATGCCTTAATCTACATGAAATGTATAAAATTTGACTTATTGACATTTTGTTATGTAATTTAGTCTGTGATATTTGTCATAAAGTCGAGTCATGTGATGTACCTATATATCGGAATATATATCAGATTGCACATACTTTTACAATAATAGTGCTGAATATATTAGTAAATGCTAGTATAAGTGTCTGAACATTGAATACTACTTATTAGAGCTTCAGCATTATGTTTAGAGCAAGAGTTTCTTTCATTTAGTAGCCGTATATCGTATACAGGCGTATACAGTCTGTATTATACAGACTATATACGGTTACAGCCCGTAAAATACGTGCCATATTTTTGAGTCAAATTTTTTATACAGATACGGTACGGCACCGTATACGAAAATGCCGTATCTGTATAATACGGTACGGGACCGAGCCCTAGTAAATGGTGGGACAACTACAGCAGTTCCTTCTTTGATGAATCTGAATAAGCTTATCCATGTCTAACAGACACCAGCTTCTATTTGTTGGTCGACTCGGGTCTGCCATTTTCCTATGGACCTGCGAATCGTGCTAGACCAGTGCTTGCTCTGGCAGAGATGCGGATGGTTGTTGCAATTCTCATGCAGCGATTTGACATTCAATTCGTACCTGAATACGACTCTCGTGGATGGGAAGAAGAGCTTGCAGATCACTTTGTGATGGCGAACGGAGGACTGCCAGTTGTATTGATGCCGAGAATGTAGCTGTTTGATTCTTTTCTACAGATTATACTTGTGTTGAGAATAAGGTATTTACTATTTCCAAAACCCCACTCTGCGACTATTATCTCTACTAGTACTGTTCCAGATTTGCAGGTGACAGAACACCGCAAATAGGTAATGAATCAAACTGGTCTTTCACTGCTCTTCTTTATCACTGCGTAACAAACGTTATAGGTACAAAATGTCGAAATGGACAGTTAAGATATTATTCTACAATCTCGACATACACCTTTGCCTGACTATATGTACATCGAAGATTTCAAGCACCGACATTTACAATGATTGGTCGATACCAGCACTTGTCAACCCGTCAACCTCTCAATCCCATCCTGAGTTTCATCTTGCGGAGAGCCCAAAGCCCAATATACCATCCGGCGAGGACAAGGATAAATCCGCCTACAATAGCAGCACCAATAAAACCTGATGCGTCGTTCGCCTAAAGAAAGGTGTAATCGGATAAGTTTCTCACCCGACCATGGCACTTGAGTAATATATGGATTCTGTTACTTGCCTTTTCCCAGCCTCTCCACCAGCTGCCAGCGAGTCCTCCACCATCCGGGGCATTTGCTGCGCGCTGGCATGGTACACAATTTTCACCGATAAGTCCCATTATTGTGATAAACGAGATGCTATAGTGATGCATGATCAATGTTAAGTCGAGTGGACTCATACAGAAATCATTCGCAGATTTCAAGTACCTGAATGCAACGAGAATACTGATAAGGGTGAGCGCAATACTCAGGCCTGACATAGTGTGTTGCTTGACACGAAGCGAGCGGCGCGTCATTGGAGTATCGGGTTCATTTCTGTCAACCGCGCCCTCATGCAAGCTCGGAACAGCTTCTTCTATGTCTGCGCCGGAATCATGCACATTCGTTTTCTTGACCAACGGATCGGAGGCTTGTGAGTGCGCAGTGTCTGGAGAAACGGGATTTGATGTATCCGGCGTCGGGCTCTTAGAGGTTTCTTCGCTAACTTCATCCTGGATGCGCAGTTCAAACAGGGAAAGCGCACGATCCGGGACACCCGCATACGCGTATAGCATCAGGATTGAATCGGCAGAATCAACAAGTGTCATTCCAGCTGTAAAGAGCAACTATGATAGGTGTATGCTTGTCAAACAGATCTGCACATATAAATGTAAAACTCGCAGTAATGTTACTTACGGGTAAGATGATAATGTCGGCTCGCGGAATACCTTTACCGCTCGCACTTTTTTCCGCAAGCGCAGTAACGGCAAGGAGGGCAATGGATGAAGCAGTATCAAAACCTGAAGAAGTCCAAGTCATAAGCACAAAGGCATCAATACGCAAAATAATCATTTCACCAAATCCGAATAATACTCCGACGGGGTACATCTTGTCAGAGTATCAGAAATAACAAGTGTCATTTAGGAACTACAAGTAACCTTCCAAGGTTTATTCACGAAAGTCGTGACGGGTCCTATTATTTGCATCATAATGGACTTCTCCGCCGGATTATCTTCATATGCAATAATTCCAGCGTCTTCTTGACGTCTCTATCTTGCCTTAATTATGCTCTGTACTCAGCTTGTTTGAGAAAGATACATACCCTCCGCCTCCGATTCCGAATAATCCTATAAAGGATAATGGAATTCGCGAGCCCAATGATGAACAGGAAGGAACCGCTAACAGCAGCTCCGACTATCCCTCCAATATCGCCTACTCCGGAAATCTTGTCATAAACACTCGTACTAATAGCAATAGCAACATTCTGTGTCCCAGACTTGTGATAAGCTTGGAGACGTTAATTCAGGAGAACGTTGCTACGCACGACAACAATGACAATAGTACTGTGACCTAGTGAGAAGAAAAGCCCGCATGTTACTGGAAGCTGGCCCATGTTTATCAGCCCTCTGGTAGCATTATCAATCGCGCTAAGAGAGATTAAACACAGTCGCTCAATTTAAAGTTTTGGTCGAATACCTGATGTGATCCGCATCCAATCCTTGGAAAAGATGATCAGTCCATTACAAAATAGAATAAGCGTCTTTGTAATATACCATGACGAAGACCGATCGTCTAAAGAGTATAAATAAGATCGAAGATAACGAAAACGATAAAGATTCTAATACTCACCCAAGCAAGCAATGCTAAACTTAGTGTACCTCGCGTTTCTTCACGCCTTCCGAATGCAATGCCGGCAGCGATCCAGCAAGCTGCATTCGCTAGGATTTCAAGAATTATGAGAAACAAAGATCGACCGAAGAGGGTTAATTTCCACTTGAAACACATGTTACGAAAACGAGAGATAAGACTGTCATCCGCCATGATAGCGAAGTAGAAATAGCAGAAATTCCCCTCCTCTTCACTAACACAGCACAAGTAGTCCTTTGAGACTCCAATACAGCGGCAACACTTGAAAAGACACCAGCTATTAGAGATAAGACTAATTTGGATAAGAGACAAGGCTTATCATGCGTACATGCAGAATTGTAATGGAACGGCAGAAGCCGAAGCGGAGATTGCACGCTTTTTCTCCAACTTTGGAAAGGGTTTACCTCTCTATCTTCTACTGTCGTCCCTTCCAACATATTGACTGCATGCTCTCATCAGCGGTAATCACTGGCTCGAAAGGCTAACTTAGATTAACTGCCGAAATGTTTCTACCAAATCGCAAAAGATCTGTGCAACTGCCAAATAGCGTTTCTTGCAAGTCTGTCGGGTACATCCAGAAACGAGACCAGACCGTTCGGTGGTCAAAATATACGGATTTGGCACTATCAATCATTATATGCCCTTCATGCACGTTATCTGCTAATACAGTGGTGGTAAAAGGAAGGGATTCTTGAAAAGGCATGTTGGACTTGTCCAACAAAATGACAGAGCAGGAACAGGCAGCCACACAACTGCATCCGAGTCCTACAATCTCAAGTGACCAGTAATTTTTCCGGAACTACTGTACATAGACAACTCTGTCTATGCCAATTTCCTGGGTTGTGGGTACATATCGCCAAGCTTACCATAACCGAGGACGCAAACATCCAAGTCCACCCTACTCATGGTCAATTCAAACTTCCTCGTTACCGACGCCACCATATCAGAAAATCGAGACTTCCATGGTAAGACTTTAACACCCGAGATGACCGAAGTTCAGTCAGTGACTTTGACTTTTCTTCCCTTTAGCTCTCGGCGAGATTGGCTACTGGCGATCTAATGGCATCCTAGCTTCCATTTCCAATCCGACTTCTCCGATGGATATGTCATCCAAACGAGTCTCCTGAATGCATAAAATAGATGCTAAGGAGTCATTTAATCGGGCACAGGGAGAAGCACATTTATGCGCCAAACTCGAGCAGTGGCTGCGAAACTGGCTTGCACTAACCACTAACAGCATGCAGTACCTTACCAACCCTTATGCGAAATACATCCGCTCCGGAACAGAGACACCGACAAGTGAAAAAACCTAGCCATAAGAAGAACTCAAACATGAAGATAGAAGACAACAAAGGTACAGCCCGAGAAGTTATCTATTACACAGCATTTCAATTGCTCCTATCTCATATTCAAAAGGGGACGACCCTGCTCCGACGAACGTGGATACTCTAATACCTGAGACCCACATACCATGTGTTAGTGACCACATATTTTACACAAATCCACAGAATAGGGACCACCCGGTCGTATCAATTCACCTGCTACTTCGCGTTCTATGAATATAACACAGTTTCAATATTGAATAGCAAATCGGGGGTTCGGAACGACTGGTACCCACGTGCACACCATGCACTTGGAGCCTGGCGTTCCCGAACCCCACAGGAGAAAGATGACTCGAATATGGTGAGCTTCGAGCGTAGTTACGTTACTCCGTTCATCAATTCCAGGCTTAGGACTTAGCAATCGAGATGAGATGATACAGCAATATGTATTGCAGGATCAATATCTCCACCGAGAGAAAATTTCATGTGCTTTCTTTCCCCTGGATCGCCGTGAAGTGAAGGAAATGAATGTTCTTACGATCGGTGGCGAAAGATTATAACAATACAACAAGTAAAGATTGTCATTTCTTGAATAGGTTACAGAAATTTTAATTTATTAGACACTTTACAGAGTCAAAGTTTTATTGGATTTATTGGGCGCTTTATTCATCAATTGATCGAAAACTCGGCGAATATAGAGTTGAATCTATGTGAACGTATGTGTCGCAAATGAAAACTTATTATTCAAGATTCAACAAGTGATACGGAGACCGTAGCATTCTTCCCATCACCGGATGCTGCTTTGATCCAATCCATCATATCAACGCCGCATCTGATACCAAACTCAAAACAAAGCTAAATTCTGCCTCAGATCGTAATGATCTTCACCATTCCGCAAAAGGCTTGAGAGATGAAAGATAAATGCGAGAGACGAAAGAGAATCAGAGGAGGATCGTCCGGATGTTTTACTGCCTGTAAATATGTTGCAATTACGGTATGCATAACGCGTAGATCATAGAATCATTTGAGCGCCACTTCGTATGACGCCGTGGCGCTTATATGTCAGTGTCATGATTTTGTTTGCCTCGATGGATTATGTTCTTCTGTTGAGATTTTGATCCGTTTCATGTTGGCATTGGTGTGCTTGCCGACGATTGCGTGCGTATGGTGGTACAATTTGAGAAGACTGGCCCGAGAATCTTGAAACAGTTATTTGGTCTCGTGCACAAAAGAGTGGGATTCAGGAGACCTGGTTGGATATGTTTGGTATTACAAATTGATAGCATCGAAAGCAATTTCGTATCAAAAGCAATAAGTACGTGAAAGTAGGAGGAAACGGAGGTGTGCTAGAACGTGAAGTCTTGTGATACATCTTGAAGAGAGAAATGAAATCAGTCAAACGCTACCAACAAACTAAGATTATCAAAGGATAAGTACCTTGTTCCCGTTTGATCTGGCGCACTTCGTCCATGAGTCCTCGTACATGTGCATCGAGCATGTCTATGTATGGCTTGAGCGAAGTACGTTCCCAATCTGATTATGTCAGAAGAATGTCAGAATCTCCTACAACACCAAACTGGGCGGCTTACCAGAATGATGTGGAAGCTGTCCATTTTCGGCGGGCGTGTCGGTCTCCACAGCCGTATTTCCGCCTCGTTCGTCGAGTTCCCGAAGCAATTGACCGACGGTCGGTACGGACTCCGGATCGAACTGGTCTGCATGGATAGGATCGACCGGCACGCAAACCCGGCCTGTCGCGGGGTGTACGCAGAAGGGTGCCTTAAGTAAGTGGTTCCGATGTTTGGACACTTCCGCATCAAGACGTGGATACGTATATTGTAATACGATGTCTTCGACTGCACGATAAATCGGCTATTACGAAGAGAAGTAAAACATTAGTCAGGGAAATTAACAAAAACACAGTTGCGGGCGCTCACGGTATTTGTCTCTTTACCTCCTCCGGTTGCCTGGGACATCTCACGCCTAACGTCGTCCCATTTCTCTTCCGAGTTACTCGAAGACTCTGACCAGCGTTTCCGAAGTCGAGACTGGATTTCCTTATTGTCTCCGAGAAGCTCTAAAAGTATATTTGTTTGTTCCGTGCCCGAGAAGCAGTCCTGGTCATCAAGAATCAAACGGGAGAACTCGCTCCGGGCAATTAGAAGGGCCGACCTACAAGGACATCCAGACTTCCTTCAGCATCCAGACATACAACACGATAAGGGGGCACACTAGGACTTACTGTAATGACGGATGTAATTGACGACCGGGTAATCCTCTGACATTGACCTTCTTGGTCATGTCCTGTCCACCCTTTACTACCTCAAGCCAACCCATGACAGCCTTCCGCTGTTCGTCCGTCAGGTACATGGCTTCTTGGTCGGAGACCCAACAGTGAATCCCACGTCGGCCCGAGTATACCCAAAGGATGTGTCGGAATCCGAAGTGCTCCCTGAGAGACTGGTCTAGAATCTTGACGGCAACAGCAATGAAGCCCCAGCACCGCTTGCATATTCCTTTCCCCGAACAACACGTGCGAATTTCGTCGTAGTCTGTCATATCAATATCAAAGACGAGTTCTCGCTGCTGCGGATGCAGAGCACCAGCACGGAGCGTTTTCTTGTCCCGCGGACGTGCGTTATACACCGCGCCGATTTCGAAACGACTAGGGTTCAGTCGGACGACTTGCTTCTTAAGGTCTTCTGCATTCGTGAAGGAGTTATATCGGATGTAAACGTCGCCCTGGAGAGTGAAGGCGAACTCGCGATGTGTGAAGAGCCGCGTGGGTGCGTGCTGGCGATTTAGCCAGGCGAAGACGGACTTGAAGGGATAGAGTCGCTTGTAGAATGCCATCATGACCTCTGGGGCAGATACATCGTCTTCCACTAGCATTGACATAATTGCAGGGTACAATACAGTACTAGATGGGTGTGCGGGATGAAGAGGAGAACGAGAAACGCGTCGCTGATTGAGCCGTGACGAGGAACGTGACGGACACGTCTTGTCACAAGTTATTGTCACGCGTTACGTTACGTTACCAAGGCTTCTAATTACTTACAGTGTACACACATGGTATTATTTTTGTATTTGTATCACTTTTCAGAGGGCCTTTTTCATTTCCGTCGCCTCTGAGAAAATCTAGGAAAAATTGCATCTTGCCAGCAGACAATGGACTCTTCCAACGAGCCAACATCACCTCGGTCGCCCCTTGCCCCCTATCCTTCGGACCCTGCGCAATTAAAGAGCCGTGCACCCGAATTCTACGGCTTCGTCGCATGGTCCTCAACTTACGCTCTATTTGTGCTCTACGTCCTCTGGGCGCTCCTACCAGACACATGGATTCTCTCGCTTGGAATAGAGTGGTATCCGAACCGGTATGCAGTTTCTTCGGAGTCAATTCATTTGACAACCAAAGCAATGTCTAATCTGTGCTGCCAATATAAACATATCGGACATCATAGCGAGTGGGCCGTCCTCCTTCCGGCGTACTCGGTTATCTTAATTCTTCTCACATACTTCACCTACTGGGCGCTCGCACTCTACAACACCCCCTCGTTCAGCGATCTCAGTACTATTACCGGTATGTACCACCCTGCTTCTCCCCGATTCTTCCTATCTTCTCCTTTCTGCCTTTTCATTACCGCCCGTTTTCTTTGATTTCGATCTTGTTGTTGCGTTCATAGTGCGGGCCTCGCGCCCGCTTTGTCTGCGCAGGGACTGCACTGACACGCCCTTGCCCCACAACGGACCACAGATACACACGCTCATATACCCACACCAAGATATGGGCGTGACGAACGAGCGACGAGCCTCAACACGAACCCGTTCCTCACCGCGGCCGCGCCGGACGCGATACCAAGTCCCTACGATATTCCGATCGGCCTCGTGAACCGCGTCTTGTACGCCTAGTTGCTGGCTCGCAGCACTGCTTCAGCTGCTTCGGACGGAGGCTTCGAATGCAAATCCATCCGAGAAGCAAGTGTGCGAGGCACCTGAATCTGGATAGAGGTAGTCTCAGGCAGAGCCAAGTCAACGTCGCTGTGCAACGACTCGTTCAATTCAATAGGCTGGCAAGAAAAGCACGGGAAGATGTGTTTTAATTTACTTTGAGCGAAGAAACATATGTAACCACACTTGCACGTGTGAAACAACATCGGCAATGTCACTGCATAGACAAATTGAATAGGTGGGCACCAGCACTTACAGGCAGGACCCTCGATCTATACATCCCGTAGAATAGAGTCGAACGGAGCCCTATGGTAATGGAAAGCGAGAGGATAACGTTTTCGAAGAAAGCTCACCATCAGTATGACGCATTCGGCATTGCTAGCGGCTGCCGGTGACAGGCACACACACGCAGCGAAACTCAGTCCGCGTCTCTCTAGTCCTCCTCGCAGTCCGAATACAAATGTGCATGTCAAAACGTTCTTGACCCTGTATCTCGTGTTCCTTACAATGCGCCGCGATTCAACAATTCCGCAGGTGATAACGACACATCCGAAGCAGTCTTTTTTCTTCAGATTGAGTCAAAGAAGCCATGCAAAGCACGAAATAGAGAAAAACAAGTCACATGGAAAATGTATTCTATTTATGCTCTACAACGATATCCGAATCCCGAGTCTCTTCCCTCGTGAAGGAGAAAACAAATAACATATCGTTAGCGAGCGAACATGGAACGTCCGGTGGAAGTCAAACTTCCACTCGGCTCGCCCACATATGTGTTATTACCACTATCCACCTACACATGTACACATGTGTCATCTTCGGTTCTTAGATTGCGTCGCCTCTCCTGGCGTGCCGGATAGATTCGCATAACGCCTCGGAGTCGGAGAACCGAGAATTGTTTCTCCAGACGGACACAAAGCCACATAGAGTTTTACAAATTCGCTCGAACGCTCTGATGTCATTTCCCCCTCTCGGCTGACAATGTGCTCTGCTCTCTCGCTAGTACTAGTGTGCCCATGACACACACACTGTCGTAATCCCAATCTTCGTCCCCCTCTCGCCTTTCAGCCCCGTCATCTGATTCTTGGGACGTCTCATATCTCGTATCTCGCATCACACTTTCTCACATCTCATCCATCTTGCTTTTTCTCTTCTTCCTTGTTTCAAATATGAATTAAGACCAGGAATAGGAAATAAGTAATTAGTTGAAATAGGGCTCCCCGACGGTTAGCGCCAATCCCACCAATATCTTGGGTCTCTCTTCTCTTTTTGTTCCACATTTTCGTTTCTCTATCTATCCGTCCGTCCATCTCGTTTTGACGTGCCTTCTTCCTTCCCGTCTTCTCCCCCCTTTCCTTCCCTTGTCTGTACTTGTCCTCTCCTTCCTTTTTTCTACTTCCCTCAATATGTAGTCGTCTCCTGCTGGTGCTTCTCCCGAGGTCTCCGACACCTCGCTCGCTCGAATTCGGATGAGAGAATGAGAATGCAAATGCAGAGCGTGGTTCCGCTTTGAAATCTTTGATACATATCGGATTCTTTTCGTTCTCTTACCCCTTCATTTTACTCCAGTTTGCCTTGGTTGACCTGACTTTCACTCCATCATATCACACTTCATTTCCCGATTCTCATTATCTCCCCTCACACTCCTCTCCGCTGTTGTTCTTTTCCATTCCCCAACTTCCTATGTTGACAATGTTGTTGTCCTACTGCATCGTTGCCGTGTAACCGCCATTCTCATGTGCTTACCTAAAAGTTAATATTCTAATATTAGTGTTTACGATAAAGCATTGGCACAAGTTTAGTTCGCTGGGTTAGTTGGATAAACTCGACACTGTCCAGTGTCCACCAAACTCCGAGTTCAAGGCCCTTTACCTACCCTACCTGTCCAACAATCTATTTATATTCATCGCGTTTTGCATACTGCCATCCGCACGTGTTCTCCGGTCGGATGATTGGTACGGTATCGGTATCGGTGTATCGGTATCGGTATCGGTATCGGTATTGTAGGTAGTTCTTCCACCTTGGCTATCCATTTAGCTTGCCTCCTCTCCAAATCCAAATTCAAACCAATGCAGTGTTGGTGTTGTTGTACACATTGTTCCTACTTACACGCATGCTAGCCATACATAGATAAAACCGAACCTAATAGCATCATTCTTCTTTGTTCTCTCCAACCAAATGTACATATTAACTCCGCTCATTGAGTCAATCCACAGTATCAATATCAGCTGTTGGAAATTTCAGTTTTTATCAACATTTGTATTGCGTGTCCCAAGTTACTTTCGAACTCTCCTCTCTCGCTCCCGGGTCCTTGATGCATCAACAAGTATCTTTAGGAAATTATACAAATACGAAGTAAGGTGTGATATCATCCTTTACTCCTCCTCAATTGTTCAATCAATCAATACTTTTATGGTTCAAAAACTTCTCAATGGCCCTCGAGATCGAAGCGTGCACATGGCGGCTAAGCAATAGTCCTCTGTGGCCTAGTAAATTGCGGCGCGTACATGGCGTCTTAGTAGCAAAGTTAGTGCTACTGACAATGTTGATAGTGCTAACAGTATAGTGCGACCATGTGCATCCTTTAATGGCATTTGAGCTTCCATTCTGACTGCATCCATAATTGTGGCACAAGAACAATGTTAATAACAACGTTGAAATCAAATCAAAATCATAATGCAAAAGCTGCAAGTATGTTACGATAGCGAGTGAGAGTGAGAGTGAATCAAGAAAGATCCAGGAGTTCCATTGTTTGATTGCAAGTAAAGGCAAAAGGGCGGAGCATTGCTAGATAGACAGACAGTACATACACGAAACAAAACGAGAGCGAGAGTAAGAAGGCAAGACAATACAAAGCAAATCGACAACAGAACAGAACAGAAAATAGAATCACCGTAAAAATATATAATGGAAACGAAGGAAACGAAAGGGGATCGAAAAAAGGAACATCACAAGTCTTAGAATAATAGTCTAGCAAAAGAAAATGTCCACAGCATCATGAAGTCCATAGCAGATACTACAAGTACTATCGATACAGACGATAGATGTGGGGTTGACAGGAAAGTAGATAGATGCAGGTAGAAAGAAGAGATAGATTGGTCATGGGAGTCTTTTTGGAGATTTTTATTGTGCGAGTAGGATTTTGTTCATGAACGTACAAGCATCAGGACGGGTCAGAGGTCAACTCTGCTAAACAAGTATGAAAAGGCACAGAAGAATGAATGAGGAAGGTGTTTCATTAACAAATGGTTGAACAATAATGTGAAAAAATGCGTGAGCAAGCGGTAAAATCAAAAAGTTGAGAGGGGAGGGAAAATTTGAGTTGAATGAGTCGTTGTCATTACAGCAAAATGAGAAATCAGTCAGCCACAGTCCGTGAATATACATATGTATGGCCGACCTTGCCAGCAGAGGAGACAAAAAAAAATCGCGGGCAAGAAAATGACTGTGTTTTCATTAAACGAAACGCACTCCCCACCGAAAATAATAAACCCATCGTCACGATCACGCACAGTTTCGGATTAGCCAATTAACTCCTAAGCGCAAGGACCAATCCAGGACCGGGCAGACACCTCCACTACTCGTCACCGACGAGGGAACTTAAAATCAGTCACTCTCTCTTTCATTCCAAGTATAAATTAGTTTAAAAATTAAACATCTACATACCTGATCAGGATGGTATGGGTACGTCCCAGCCTCCGCATACGAGTTTCGCTCGTCAAAGCGTGCGTTAATATCAGCTGCGCCGTTGTCGCCGGAGGGGACGGCGGGAGGAAGAGGTGCTGGTGCGATCCGTAGGTTTGATGGACGCCGCGAGAACATTAACTCATCCGGACCTAGTTCTGGATGTCTACCTCCACCGCCGCTAGTAGCCATAGAGACGTCCTGAGAGTCAATATCCGCCATGTCCGACGCAGGAGATAGCGAACGCAAGCGGGGTGCATTTGTCCGTGTAGCTAGACTCGGCGGGACCCAACGCAACTTCGGCGGACGACCATTTCCGCTTGCACTTGCGCCGTCGGCGGATGTTACTCCTGCTGAAGGGTCTTGTACATCGACGACAACGGGTGTCTCGAAACCTACATGGAAGGGCTCTTCTTGGTTCCTTCCCGAACCATTTTTGTTTAGAGAATTAGGCGGAACGGTGATCCCATGGGTTCGGAGGTGCCGTCGTGCATTGGAACGAACGGCAAATGTCTTCGGGCAGAGTGCAAGTGGACATTTGAATGCTGTTTGAGGCAAGGGATAAATAAATGTCAATATAAACAATGTTTCTTAATTTGGCCGAAAAAGGAAAACGAAAGTCCAAGTGCAAAAAAGGCGGGGAAGTTCAGATAGCAAAACGAGGGACTTACGACGTGCTCCAGAGTGCGAGTTCATGTGCGTTGCTAATCCACTTGGGCGGGGGAACAGCTTTTGGCAGATGCGGCATTGGTGCATTTTGACCTTCTTTGGAGGTTCTCCTGGTGTCGCGGACTCGATGAGTACCTTCACTGTCTGGCCCTCGCTCTCTTCTGCTCCAGAGCCTTGCACCCGCTTGCTCTTCTCTCTCCTTTCAGGCTGTCTGAAGAGTTCGGGTGGCATCATGTTTGGAACTTTTTTCCCTTTGCTACTACCACCCATGGAGCGAGGCGAAGCGGAGCCAGGATGCACCGAGCCTGGCCCTCCACCAGCTTCCATGAGTGAGTTCATGCCGCTTCCACCTGCAAGTCCCCCGAGGCTATCCATCGGCCAATTTGCTGGATCGGCGCCGTAAAGCATGAAATTTGTACGCATTAAATCGGAGGGCGTACCCGACACGTGTTGTGGAAATTGCAGCTCGGGCGTTGGTGATGCAGGTGGAGGTATTCCAAAATGCAAGTTGTGCCCTGCTGAGCCAGGACCATCGTCTTCCTCAAACCCATCATCAAATTCCTCGTGGTCGAAATCATCGCTTTCCATGTCGTATTCGATCATCCCGCCTGCGCCTCTCGAGTCATAGGGAAAGAAATTGCGCATGCCCGTCTGCTGAGGCGCGTTTACTGATCTCGGGGTGGGCATCTGTAAAAATGGCGCATTTGCATCTCCCAACTGTTGAGAATGTCCTTGAGGTAGCCATTGCTGCTGCTGCTGAGACTGCTGCGAAGACATGTCGCGATGGTGGTGGTTGTGTTGAAGCTGGGGAAACGCGCGTCCCTGCAACAGGAGGTTTATCAGTACATGCTGTTAGCAGATTAGGAACTGGACTGCCCACATTAAGCGACACGCCCTGGTGCAGTTGACGGGTGGCGCTCTGGGCCCGTTGATCGCCCGCCGCTCCGGGTCCGGGCCCGGGCCCGGCAGACATGGACACCCGACCGCCATCGCCGGGCACGTTCCCGGTCGCGAAGGCCGGCGGTATGCGCGCGTGGCCGTGGTTGCTGTGGCTGACGTCGTCGGATGCGGAAGGCGCCTGCACCTGCGGGTGGTCCATGATCGGCCCGCGTGACATTGACAATGCTGCCGCTGCCGCCGCGTCCTGTGCGAAGTCATGCGCTGCGTGTGCGTGCCCTGGTGCATATCCCCACCGTTGTTGCGCTTCTGGAAAATATGGAGACGGCGCCTGGCCGTGTCCGTGTCCATGTCCACCGCGCGCGAGCTCAGTGCTGCGCTGAGACGATTCCGGATACGCTGCGTTCGACTGCTGTTGCTGTTGCTGGTTCTGCTGTTGTTGGAGCGCACCTGCAAGCGCATATGGACGTGGGTTGCTGTCAATCGGGGAATGGAAGCCCGAGTAAGAAGCAGACGATGTGGGCGAGTACATCTGCAAGTCGGATTGCGCATCTAACGGATACGACCATCCGCTTGCTGAGACGGGTGACAGAGACGGCACCGAGCTGTCATGTCCATGTGTCCCCGTAGACGCGTCGTGGTGCGGAGGCATGGTGAGCTGACCCCGTGAATTTTGCTGCTGCTGCTGTGTTGATACGTCGACGCGGGCCGGATAAGAGGAGCCGGACGAGATGCTGGCGCTGGTGTCGTCGAAGTAATGCTGGAAGTGCGCGTTGCACATTGAACGTCGGGAGGGAAGAGGGAAAGGGACGGAGACGGGAGACGGGAAAGTCGATAGGCGGAGGGACGTGCGGCGTCGGGGAAGCAGTGGCAGGTGAGGATGTACGTGTGTGTGTGGACTAGACGGGCAGGAGGTGTCCGAACGATGGAGGAGGCGTAGGAGGAATCGAAGAGTCTAAAAAGCAGACGCGGTGAAGAACGAGGTGATACGGTTCCATCGGCGTAAGTTATAAAGGGCGATCACTTATACCTGTCCGGGCGGCAACATACACGACAGAAAATAACCGCATATAGATTAAAAAAGGAAGAATAGTCAGCGTTAACGTCAGGCATGGGGTGCGAGGGCAGAAATCCAGTAGATCGAGAAGCGAATGCCAAATGAGCGTGCACAGCTTGCACGAGCAAGCAGCACCAAGCAACAGCACACGTCTGTCGGCGGGCTGCTCTGGCGAATTGAATTCAAATTCAAATTAGGAATCAGGGCAGCTGCACCAGCTGCAGGCGGCTAGGCGAAGAGGGGGAGGCCAACGTAAACGTGAGCCAAAGGAGCAGAGTCTGAATCTATCTCTGCTCCCGCGTACATTTTGATCAGCGACTGTCGGAAAAGGCGCGAGTGGACAAGAGTGGACAGAATGGGACAAAGGTGCGACAGGCAGGGGCGGGACGGGAAGGATAGATTAGAATAAGATAGACAGGATTGGATTGGATTGGATTGAACACGAACAGCTGCTCATCAAGAAGGCAGATTGAGTGAGTCTGAATCAGGACGAATTAGCCGAACCCAACAGATTCGCAATGGCATTGGCCCATGTCGCCAAACCGAACAGACACCGCAAAGCGTGTGCAGATCCGGGCCAGCGGCGGGGAATTGGATACAACTTTGGAGGTGTGGTGGATTGGCTCTGACGTTGGGCCGGAATGCAGTAAGACGAAGTACTGCTGCAGCAGTTCGTGCGCGTACGGTAACCGTGGACTGGACCGAGACCAGGGCCAGGAAATGAAGGATTCAAAGGGAATGAGACCAGGAATGAGACCAAGAAGAACATTAATATGGCAGGTAGCTCTCAGCCCCAGAGAAACGCTTCTTTGAGCCTTTCTTCCGCTAGGACAAGATGACAAAGCCGTTCAGAGGCGGATCCAACTGAGAAGCACTTCTCGTTATAGCAGTTCTTCTCTTCGTCAATGCAGTCAATGAGGAAATCAAGAACAAGGTTGACTGCTTACCATATCAATTATCATTGTCAACCCCGCCCACACGCATGTCTCGTCTACACGCCGTAACGTAACGCGTTCTGCACTAGCTGATGCTCTCGCATGCGCGCCTCTCTTCGCTGCCCTCCCATGCGTAATAAACGCCAGGTTGGCCCATGTTCAACCGCACCGTCCCGCCGGGACGTCGATAAATTGTGTTGAGCCGTTTCAGTGCGACACATCTGGTCTAGAGTACCTTTCTGCACTGTGGCAGTGACACGCTGCGCTGCAGGCGAGACGGACAAACGGACGCCCACTGGGCCGAAATGAATTCTTCCGTGTGACCCTCGCGTGACCCTGATACGTTTTTGTCGACGGACTTGTGTACACCAACCGCCGCTTCTTGGATGGTTGTTATTTTGTCCTGTACTCACAAACTAACCCCCCGAATTTACCGAATATGGCTTCTCCCGCACAACATCACGTATTTCCTGCCCGCTTCTTCTTGCTTCGAAACCTCACTGTCACACACGCGCACTCACACCTTTTTTCTATCTTGCTTTGCCAGGCAGCGGCATAGCGATATCGACAACTGTATTCCTACGTGCTCACACGCATAGCGTTCGTCTCCACGGCACCGTCTACAAGCCATGTATTCTCGGGAAGCACAGCTTTCTCTGCCGGTTCCAGAGCTTATTCAAGCCGGACTGCCTTGTTTGCTAGTCGTCTTGCTCACTTGCCTGCCTGCCAACCAAAGTACATCCCGTTTCCCCGAGGTCATTGTCTCAATGGTTCAACACTCATCTCCTATCTCCGCGCGTCTCCTCGCGTATTCTTGCACTACAGAAGAAAGAACGCGAAAAGGCAGCGCGGAAGGAGAGTTGAGTAATCGCGCATACATGCTAGGAAAGTATGAGAAGGAAAAAAAGGAAATCTCTCTCAAGTGAAACTAAATGTTTATTCAAAAGAATCTTGAGAAAACAACTGTGCGACCCGCTCGGAAACCATAGAAGGATCACGACTGCCGCCCGTCCGCACACCCACTTCCCCGCTCATCATGTGGACAATTTCCATATATCATTATCATAATCTATTATCTCGATCAGGCATTCCATTGCATCGCCGTCCACGATCCCGGATTATCCATCAACATCTCAATTGGCGAAATACAAATCATATACAGATATGCTCACATACAATGCATACATGCAAAACGCACGATGCCCGACGAGAATTCCGATAAATACGTATCTAACATTTAGACAAGTAGGCAAAGAAAAATAGCAATGATTTCGCTATTCGTTCCCAACCTATCCTGACGACGTACGGCATGCCCACGCTCAGTCTAATGTGCTTTCGCTAGCGTTGTTGCTACTACTGTGTCATATGCGTGTGCCTTTTGCTCATGTTATGACTCCTTTGTTCGGCGTCTGGCTCCGTCTCTCAGCAGCTCGTCGTTCGCCCTGTATCTCCTGTTTCGAACAAAACCTGATCGGACCTGTGATCGCAATACACACATGCAACAAATGCACTCGTGTTGTACGTCTGTCCCGCCCCGCTCTCACCGTTCATCTATCTGATCTTGGCTCTGTTGTGTTCTCTAAATCTGCCCCTTTTCCCGCTAAATATAGTCTCCGATTTCCGTCTCGTGAACACCCGACACCCGGACGTCAGGTCGGTCGGTCAGACAAGATGTGTAGTAACTCGAAAGGAGTGTGTCTCATGCACACACACGCGAGTCTGGCTCTTGGTCCGTTTCAAACTGGCTTAGTGACATTTGACATTGCTATCGTGTCCTTTCTCCATAGAGGAGTCAAGGCGGTGGTCAATGAAACTAAACACTAAACGCTGTCGACATACCCTACACCTCAAATTCTAAATTCTCAGGTGTCATAATTCACCCGGACGCGACGTCGGGATTACACAGGGCGGACAAATATGTCCGAAGCTCCGCGAATGAAGATGTTTTAGACAACTCGGTGGTTCTAATCGGTTCGAATGGCTCGAATGGGCAAATGTGTGCTCTATCCTCCCCACTGCTCTAAATTGAACCAACTCCCTATCTCCCCCATCTCCCCCTTCTGACTGTACGTGTGGCGACTAGCTTTTTTTAATGCGCGCGTCGGCGCTTAGTGATTAATCCGCGGAGCTTGTGGCCTGTAAATGGCCAAAGTCTGCGGGTGATGATATCTGTGATGTTGTTTGGCTCGCGTTGCGAGTCGGATCTCTTATTCTGCGTATATACGTACGGGCCGATGGAAAGATATTTTTTTGATATTCGCTTCACTTCAAGTCATCTTGGCACACAATTATTCCCAAGACATGGTGGCTTTCAGCGCAAGGAACCTTTACACATGGGAAGGTAGTCCGTCCTACGTCTTTGCTTTCATTGGTTGAAGCACAGTTCATTGCAAGGAACATTCATACACAGGAAAGCAGTCCGTCCTACCTCTTGTTGCAATTGGTTGACGAACAGACACCAAGAAAGCATCCGTAACAGATACTAGGCAGCAATCTTATTAAACATTCAAAGCGGCCAATATAATGGTACAATGTACGTGTCCAATGTAGTGTTTGTCCTTCTTTCAATTTACCTATCGATGAGATAACAATCAGGCATTATGTTCTGCATGCAGATTGCTGATAGTGTATTGATAGACAAAATGCAACGCAACGGATCCGAGGAGGCAAATGGAAATGCATAATCATGACTGTTTGTCGAGGTGAGGCGTTATGTATTGTATTTTTGCGCTTCTTGCGTGGTTTCGGAGCGTCGGTTGCATTTTGGGCTGAATGCCTGAATGCTTGAACCAATCGCCGCCTCGTTCTGGACGGACATCGGACGCGGACCTCGTTGCTAACCAGACTAAATTGACTTGTCCAACCAACCAACCAATCAACCAACCAACCAACGGATGGATGGACAACGGACGAGTCTAAGAGCAACGTGAAGCCCATGAAGCCGATGGACTGCCTCCCCCTCTCTTCATTCTTCATATGTACCTGAAAAACGGAACTTTTGCGCTTTGATTTATTTTGTGTTACTCCTTTCACCAAGTGTGTTGAGAAAAGGTTGGTCTCATGCCTGATTTGGTCAGATGAAGAATGAAGACTGGTGGAAATATTGATGTGAGCAAAATCTGCTTGGAATAGGTGTTTAATACAATGCTCGGACGCAGAGGAAAATGCTAACGAAATACACGAAGTGCTTTCGAATGCACAAATTAACGTCAATCTGTATAGACGTGTGTACGAATGCAAGAGCATTTGTTCTTTCTCCCCTTTCGTCCTCTACCTTTGCTTCATTAATCTTTATGCCCTTGAGCCTCTGCACCGTTTCGCCTGTGCACTTTGGTCGTCTCGCGCTGTATAGACGCCTACCATGTCTTCAGATGCTATATGCTGACATCGAAGTGGAAGCTCTCCCGTTCCTAGAGTTAACTACTTCTCTCGCTTCCCTCCACGTCTTAAAGCTTCCAACAGAGCGCTTCAATACCAGATCCTTAATTCTCTTACTCTATGCGACGCTCGCTGCTACTACTGATGAGGGGTCGGAGAGATGGGAAAGACGAGAAAGAGAAAGAGAACACGAACGAAAATAACGATGACACCGGAAGACTTCGGAGTCAGAGTAGCTTTGCATTATCATGCACAAGACGTGTGAGAAGTTCGCTACTCCTTCTCCTCCCCTCACAGTCCATCTCTTCCTGTCTATCATCTCTTCCCGTCATCCACTTATACATCTTCTATGCTTCGATTTATACTTTTGTCGTAGATGCACTGACTTCTCCCGGGCGGTCACCTAAATTTGAAGGACGTTCCCGTGTATCTTTCCTTCCCATTTCCCCTGTGTTATCTTCGCCTTCGGCATCGTGTGTACGCGGCCAGCGTGAAGAGTCAGTTTCAGCGATCGTGCACAACTCTGAGCCGTTGTGCCGTCGCCACCGCTGCCGGAATCCAGAAGAAAGGTGAGTGATGAACGCCTGAGACAGGGTGTGCACGGAATTTCTATGCGGATGATAGATGATGTGAGGTGCTGGTGGAATTACGAGAGGGGGGATGGACTAAGGATGAAGACAGACTTCTGCTTGTAGAACGTCCGTCGGGTATGTGCGTCACGCTGCAAATTGTCTGTCCAGAACGCAGAAATGCCATTCCATCGCATTAGCGTCGGTGTCTATGTCCAGGTACGGTATTAGCAGAAGCCCCGAATCTGTACGTCGACGTCTTTCTTTCCATCTGGTCTTAGCCCCATACAAGTACGTCCATCCATTTTGTTTCCCCTGCCTGCCTATGTACGCTTCCCGCACCCAAGTATGTACCCTCGAAAGTTGACACCTTGGCTTCCTTAGCTCCTAGATAGCTTCTCTTCTACCCTATTCATTCGTACCATACGTTAGTCCTTATGCCTTCTACTATCTCCTGGTTATTTCCCGCCGTCCACCTGGGTTCACAGACAGCTCGCAGAGTAGAGTGGGGGATCCCGTACCAGGTTGCTGGCGGTTTACCCTTCATCGCCCTCCTTCTCTCTTCTCCCGCCTCTGCGAGCCATGTGAAATCACTCAGCGCTACACGGTACGATTGCGTCAGAATGGACCATGGATTCCGAGTATCTGACAATGAGCCTATGACACGCGCGAGGATATCGTGATATTGTCATGCCGTGTGGGTAGCATTAAAGGTGTGGGGGTAAAGGTGATGGGTTATTGAATGAAAGACAGAGGCCAGGAGTGAAGAACACAGTGTCTCCCAGCGTACTCAATCAAACGAATTCTAGGGGGAAATATGTTCCTCCTGTTCCTGTCTCCTGCTCCTATTCCTGCGGTCCTGAACAACTTGACGAGTGAATTAAGAGCAAGACATATCAGCTGGCTGTGCTAGCTTTCAAGTACCGACAGTCAAAATGTACCGAAATTTTGCGAGCTCTGGCATCTTCAATGAGATAGAGAGCTAGAGCTTGAGCCAGGTGGGCGCCTACAGAGGTGTGATGCGAGAGTTAGACCTAAGAAGGCGCATTTTTACCCTGTTTCATATCCCTCTGTTTATCCCCCCTCGAATTGCGGGTAATATCCACGACATCGACGATTCCATTGCGTGTACAGGCGCATTGTGTACACCGACTGCAGCTATGTTTAGAGGAATGATTATATTTGTCAGCGAGACCGTGTCCCGCTTAGCTCCAGCGCAGCACTGTCATCAAATATTCCTTCGGGGCCCCTAATTGACCTCGTGGGTCTGCGGAATCATTTCGCATACAGTTCCCCCCATTTGATTCCGAGAGAGCGCACGTTGTGTATTTCTGGCCATCACGAAGGTCGCGCCCGATAATCTGCATTCCTTTTTTTATTTTCGTGCCGAGCTTTTGTCGGCATCGGTTTCCCGGACCAAAGTGTGGTCAAGCTCAAGGTGCATTTGGGTTTGGTACCCTCGAGTCGGCAATATCTGGCGCACAAATTGCGGGAATAGAGATTCAAGGTGAGTTCTTGTTCCTTCCAGCGCATTGACTTCACTCACCGTGGTGGGCTTCGTTTCGTTGGCATTTCCCAATTCTGAAGACGAGTTTGTACATCGGACAAGTTGTATACCCGGTTTCCCAATCTCGAAGTCAGCACCTTCTTTGAGGGGGAGGGGTTACAACTCCGCGGAAACGTAAGAGCAGTTCGAGTGTCTGTGCGTGTGCTCCAATTGGTGATACATTAGAGAAGTGACTGAAGAGGAGGCTAGTGTATGCAGAGAGTCCGTGCTGTGCCACTTCGTCGACACAGTGGCACTATGCAACGGGAGTATTCTTAGGCTTACTCCTCCGCCCTCCTCGTTGTAAACGCGTGGCAAACAGTATTCAAATTATGGAACAATGGAACTTTCCATTTCGAGTAAGAAAAGTAGCCGGCCATTTCGGCTTACTTTAATTGATCCACGTGGACAATTGTTCCGGGCGCCGATCAATCACGTCGATCCCAAATTGCTTCCGTCGAAGACTCAACTTGACGTGTCAATCCAATTGCGGGGGTTTCCGGCCTCCACAATAAACGTATTGAGCTATTGGAGAATGTACTAGGTAATACGTTATGTATATTCCATACACTATACCTACATGTGTTGTTTATTTATATACAGGTACAATAAATTGTGGTAGAACACAACATATTCAATGAAACGTTAGTCAGTACAGTAAAATAATTCACTACACACAACATTAGGATCAACATGAAAGTAATGTGTAATAGATTATAGATTTTCTCTATAACCTTTTATCACCTCAGTTGCAAGGGTACCTATGTGTTTAATGAAACAAGACAGTTATGCTGAACAGGCGTGTTTCCTATTGTAGTAAAGGGAAGCAAATTGGTACTGCCTTCTTTTGGAAGTCAAGTGCCATCCACCCAGTTAGTTAACTTACACGTTAATCAACAAATACCTGGAAAGACGTACCATAAGTAAAATACGAGCGTAGAATAAGCACTATGAAGAAGAAAAAAATGAACAAATAACACAGTAAAGGAGGTCATTGCCCAATTGGGTGTCCTTGCCTCCAAAGAAGGTAGCGCCAATCATTTGCCTTTTACAGGGATGACGATGAAATGACATCTTCTTTCACACCTCACACAATTACAATGCCATCCTTACATTATTACAAGCGGACTAGCCTGTACCCATCCAACTATCCTTCCATCAACACATCGCGCTACTGCATTCGAACTTTGAGAAAATCGATTCGAGCATATTTTGGAACTGCGTTTGTAGTTCCCGTACTTTGGTGGAACGGACCTTGAAAGTTGAGACACACCACTACCTCAATTCATTAATTTGCATTGTGGTAACCTCGTGTATTGTGGTCCGGTGCCGTCTTGATGCACATTTACTCGGCTGCCAAGGGGTGTTCTCCAGCCAGCTGCTGTAATTGCACTATTTATCGGATCGGATGTCGCTTTGTCTGTAGAGTAAAGAGCAGGTACGTTCCCAGTGAACCTGCTACTTCTGTGGATCGCAATTGGATTATCAAACTTAAAGGCACGCTTTTTACTCACAAACCATCTATCTTTGAATCGTACTCCTGTCCTAATGCATACGGCAGCGCTGCGGAAGCATGAAAAGGACTACTGCTGCGTAAAACTGATTAATCACGCGACAATCAACATGGGCGTCTTTATAGATATAAATGTTGCGCTTCGTTGAATCCTAGCTATATAGCCAGGCTCCATTGCAAGGCCTCATCTCACCTAGTTAGCAATTCAACCATTGTGATCGATGGTGGTGGAGATGGAAGATCATCGGCCAAGAGTACGGCCTCTGAGAATAATGCGTTGCAGTGAACTCAACCGGCGTTAGCGGTGACCGTTGTAAGTCAACACCTGGAAGTTTGACCTGTGGGAAGAAGCCTGGAGCCGATCCTCTATTGCCCCCTAGCTCTGCAGGGAAATCGGTGGATCGAATTGAGAATATGGTTCACTTCGAGAATTATTGAAGAATAGACGCCGTGTGTTCGAATGTATGGGATAACCGTCTCATTCATTTAACTGATGTGTACATTTGATTGTCACTCTCCTGAGACCATCGGCATCGTGGAGCAGCATTCTGACGTGTACATAGGCCTGCAAATCAAGCATGGAAATGCAAATGTAGAATGAAGATATGAAAGAAACATGGGTTTGCAGTTATCTTAACTCCAATTTCAGTTCTATAAATGCAGAGTTTAAACTCTCCAGAGTACTCTACCTATGTGAGTTTCGCAGAAGTACACATTAAAGTGTGCGTCGTTCGAGAAGGAAAAATGAATTACAGCACAATTCAACTTTCATTCTTCCGCGATCCAGACATTTGAAAAATTACAGTATTTTAGTAACTCTACGGACAAGTACAACCTTCCACGTCCAACTTACTTTCCGCATGCCGATACGACACTATATCCGAGTCGGAGCTACCTACCTTCCATCATTCAGACCTTCTGTCAGTCGAGTGCAGGAAACGAACAATGTCACGTAAAAGTATCGATCTCATTAGCGTACTTGAGCGGTCGACTTACCTCCCGCGATCCTGTTTACCTTCGCAACTAATGCAGCGTTCAAGAATGCAAGAGATCTAGAGCTGTGCCTGCGGACTTTTCGCGGTCTGCAAGTGTCAAGCTGAAGTGGGAGACAGGAAGTCCAGTCCTTACATTGAAGCACTTAATCAACCCATTTCTATGTAGAACTCATTAGTTTTCACTGCCTGAATTCAATTCAATAGAAACCAAGCTAGCACTCAATTTTCCTTTCGGTATTCCAAAAAGTTTGCAGGCTACGTTGCTCACCCAAAGTAAGGTATTTTTGAGAAAAATCCTTCGCCTAATTGGGATGACCGAGCATCAGGGCGATCCAATCTATTTGTTGCATCTTCTGGGCGGTGTTGAACGGTCTGCGATCCGATTCACTGTTTCATTATCGAAAGATGACCTGTTCCAGGAGTTTCATCGGTAGAGTCCTTGCTTGTCTGAACAGACATGCGTGAAGTTGAAATTCCCTTCACGATTCAATGCTACTTCTCTCTCAAAAAGCATAGATTGACCTCGATTTGCACGTACAATGCCCCCTTACTGTCAGATCGTCGATTCCTTCCTTGACGTCTCTTGCTATCTAGATCCTCCCGCGAAGGTTCGTGGGTTTGATGCCATGTGCAGTGAATTGTCCTTTAAATTCTGGATTTGTCTAGTAACGGCATGCGACACCTCGCTTGATGTTGGATAACGTCGGCGGTCATTGCTCTAATGGTCTGGTAATTACGGATGGGAGGTCTCGACCATTTGCTGGACACTGGTTGACGAACAAAACGCGCTCCTTACGCGCGGGAAAGAGATAAGGAGTGAACTCTGCTGGAGTGCACCCCGAATACATTGATGCCTGGTCATTTTACCTCTGGAAGTCCGCTGGCCTGTCCGAGTGCATTTATTCTGGGACAGTTCACGCAAGTCCTCGGAGTAACTTTGCTACTTCTTTGCGCGACACCTCATGATCGAGATTGATTCCACGCTGCATCTGCATCCGGGGGGCGAAGTGCAAGGCGCCAGGACAAAAAGTGATGAATTTTCAAGTTTAGATCCGGGAAGGTCATAGCGAGCGCACGAACGCGATGACGGACCAGGATTATTTGAAATATCTCGTCATGACCACACGGATGTGATGCGGGCAAGAGGACTGATGGTAGCCAATTCTATAACTGCGTCCGGCGGAATAATCAGAAGATACACGTACGGCATAAGAACAAGCAGAGTGGTGATTGAACGTCCCACGTTCGACAGCGCGGACACCTTGGGAGAAGCTCAGAAGGTGACGCGGAGTCAAGGACGTCACTTCGAATTCTTAATATCGCGTAAAAGGCCGTCCAAGGATGGGTGAATTGGCCTAATAGTTTGGTGCACCGAGGACCAGTCGGACGAAGGATTACGTTAGGGACAGCGGCATAAAAGACAATGCGGCGACTTAGCACGCTAGCCGCATATCAGAAAATTATTAGATGTCGACTAATGAATTGCGGTCGTCGCATTCTGTTCAGTTCCGGAAAATGACACTACCTACTCCTTCCCCTTTGCAAATTCGAATTCGTTAGGAGCGCTCTGACCACGTATTCTCCAATTGCTTTATGATGCTTTGTACGTCTTCCCACTCGAGTGAGCTCCACTTCGCTGGCATGCGAATTGCTTCATCGAAGTTCTTCACCGCCAGCGCAAATTGCATTGCAAAGCGATCATAGGGTATCTTTCCCGTGCCAACCCCCAGTCCTGGCATCAAGACACTACGAATTAGTGGCTTCTCGTGCACCGAATCGTGTCGTGGAGTCTGAGAGCCAGAATCATACTCGGTGTTTCCCTTTATATCACTATTGTGCCGCGTTATCTCGGCAAGTAGAGCCCAAACTACGTTGTAGACAATGTCACGATTCCACGAAATATCTTGAGGCCAGTGCATTGTTGGGCAAAGTATCAGATATTTGCAATCTGTTGTACCCTTTTGTGCATCGATGACGTTGTCTGGGAGTAGCAACGCCGATGCTGAGCCAGGGACTGCGAAGCCCTTCCACTCCTTGTATAACTCCGCCTGTACGAATCGCGTTAAAGCAAAGTAGTCCGTGGGAGGAGAGAGTAGTTTTGAGATGGCATCGTCGAAGGCACCGTCTGCAGAAGTAAGCCATATGTCAGATTTTTCCGAACCATGTAAGTTGATACAAACAGCGTGTTCATCAGAATGTTAGGTGGTTCTCAACAGGAAATATCTCATTCTCTACCCACTCCACTTGAGAAAGGAAGTACGAAGTTGTGCCTAAGGCGATGTTTTTACGCGGGCCGCCTTCGGCACGAGAGAACTTCGATTTCTGACGAGTACTTACCCATCCGACCGTACGAATTAGCAGGGCTCACAATTGCGTCAAATTTTGTGCCCGGAAGGTCGTTTAGCCTTGCCCGTACGAAATGAAATCTACTGCGCAATGGGAGTTGAATTTCTTTATCGAGAGCGGCCTTCCACTCGTCATAGAGCTTATCGTCACTTCCAGGGACGATCAGATGGAAATCGATATCCATAGTGACCCTTTGCAGGTGACGGACCGGAAACTGGAGAAAAATACTGAGTTGTTGAACAAGTAACTAAACTGAACCTTTAAGGGACACATACACGAGAAATCGTGAGGAGTTGTTCGAGATGGAGATATTGGACATCAACTGATTTAACTCTGCGACGAATCACGATTGTGGCTCAACGGCTTAGTCAGAAATTGACTTCCTCTTTCGGAAACCAGGAACGGTGATAACCATCAGAGTAGAGCATCAATGCGAAGATTGGCCTGTATTTGTGGCGTTTTCCATGATTCTGACGACACTGATCGCGAAGTCAAAGGCAAGAGATGTTTGTACCTCGCAGCTTGGCATTCCATAGATGCCATGCCGGTGTGCCTGTGATACTAGTGAGGAATAGAAGGAAAGGAACAAAACCTTAGGAAAGCAGCAAGCGTGCTTCAATAGCAGATTGCCGTACAAGCACACACGAGAATAAAGCATCTCAAGCGCTTTCTGAGCGATGTTCGATGATGAGGCGGCATGGATGAAGTGCTGACATGTCATAATCCGAAATAAGGGAACAGATTCCATGTAGCAGTTTAGACTAGAAGGGGGATTTGCCTCGCCCGTCTGGACTGCGTCCGCGGCGCAACGAAATGTGCCCATGGCTTCAAATCAACCGAGAAAGCCTGTTTAGCGAGACTTCGCCGCGCATCTCCGAGACACCGACAACGGAATACTAACTTCCAATCATTTGCCGAACGTAACTTCTGTTCGATCACTTCACACACCTGTATTGTTAGGTATAAAGATGAACAGACTGTTAATACGAGCTGTGTATAGAAACTTACTGCCCCTATGTGGCAGAGATGACTCTGAAAAGAAGCGAGCGGAGCAATCGGGGACGCCTAATACATGCAAGAATACAAAGGACTCGTTTTATCGAAGGACCCGTGTACAGATCTTGATATATCAGTACATTCAGAATGTGTGGGCCGTGTATTCAGTGCGGCAGCCGGTGCATCTGAGTGATGCGGTTCATCGGCGAAGCTGAAGCCACATTAACCTTCCATAAGGGCCGAACATTTTTCGGAATCTGTTTTAGCCTCTTGTGTAGAATGAGTACGGGTACGGAGATTACCGAAGAAGAAGATCAATTCACTGAATACCGAGGCGATGATGCGTTCCGCTTGAAAGTAATCGATTTACCTTATGATTAATTCCGTGGATGAACGTGTTGTTCAGTTACAAATCATTTGACATTAGTAGCAACGTCCGTGAGACGCTGGATTCAAAGACTGGCTATTGAATGCCCCAGCACAAGTAATTCATCCCACACACATAGCATCACATAGGGTAAGGGCAACGTTATCAATATGTGGGTGAAAAGAATCAAAGATATATGAACATCGACGCGCCCACCAAACTTGGAATTGCACTGTGACAGGCTTAATTATGACTGCTCATGTGATCGTGTAATATAACGCGTTACGGCTGTCGACTTTTGCTTGCTTGTACTCATCATTTACGGACAGCGCAATGCTGCTACGTGCCTTCTTATCTCAAAGGGTTACAAGGCATAAGGAACATCGTTATTGGCAACATTCTTTGCGAAATTTAACCTCTGTGGCAACGTCGGGCCCATTCAGCATTTTATTTCTCGGAAGAGACGAGTTTTCTGTGCTAGTGCTGGATCAACTACATAAACATCAAGGTGCATTGCAACAGAATGTTCAATAGTTAAAAGAAACTAAACTTGTACTGCTAGGAAGACGTGTGGAATGATATCGCCATTGCGACTCTTCCGGATGAAAAGACTGGAAGAAATGGTTCGAAGATTTCTATTTGTGAGTGTTTTGTCATTTTATATGTTTCTTCGCCCTGATAAGGTATCTCTAGCACCCCTAAAACTCAGAAGCCTTGAGTTGGGGCTTGAGACACATCTCATTCCCCGCAAGAAGGCTGCTTTCAAGGATTGGTCTGTGAGTAAATCAGCTGGTCACTGTTTCGCTGCCTCATTGCGTCCACGAGTTCAGCCACCTTCTCAATTCTTCCGTGTGCCGCCGTTGCCAAATCAACTCTTGGTGACAGCCTCGTTTGGAAGGATGATACCCGATCGAATACTTCATCTGTTCCCAGTGTCCCGACGACTAAATGTCCATCCTTCTTTAATTCCATTTTACCGAGGTCCAGCGCCCATCCAGCACACAATTGCGGACGGGAGGAGCGAAACAGGGGTGTGCGTCTTGGAAATGAAAGAGAAGCGATTTGGTGCAGATGTTGGTGAAATATGGGCGAAAAAATCGCTGGTAAGTGTGATCGGTTACGGTTACGCAATAGTATGATATCAACTTCTAATCTAATGTCATGAAGGATGTTCAATCAGGAGTGACGTTTTCTGCATTGAGGGATAAACTCGCTATTGAAGGAGGGAAACTGCTTGTCTCTGTGCTTAAGAATATGATTGCTGGCACTGTGCGTTGTTTTGTTAAGCAAAATTATTAGTGACGTAATCTCTTTCGGGGAACTGTTCAGTTAATTGCAACCCCTCAAGATGATGCGAACGCATCCTATGCTCCTTTCACCACTCAAGAAACAGCGACCGTCGATTTTCATTCATGGGATGCGTTAAAGGTGGAACGAATGTATCGTGCAATTGGACATCAGGTACCTCTAGGAATGTACTCCTTTTTGGAACGAACATACATGTTTGACATTTTTTATCTCGATATTCACTAGAAACCTATTGTCACGACCCTGCCTTCGCTTAAGACCCTCCAACTGCATGCGCCACAACCCTTTGTTCAACCTACCTCGGATGCAGAACCGCCAAAGCCTTTACGAGCGTTACACACGCCAGGTGACACAACTTTTGACCCTACAACGCGTAAGCTTGCAATCAGATGCGCCAACGGGACGTTTCTATACGTGCCAGTTGTAAAGCAGCAGGATAAGAAACTACTTTCTGCGGAAGATTGGTGGAAAGGTGTTTGGCCGGAATGGTTGAATAACAAAGTCATGAAACTCGGGTATGGAAGCAGAGCGGCATGACTGCCGAGGGCGGTAAGTGTTCTACCCGAAATGAAGAATTCGACTTCTCCTTGCTTAACAATATTGTTGGCTACGTAGAAAAATACTTATCTTCGTCGTTTGAAAGAAGATACAGTTTTTCCTTTTATAGTACTAATTACATTTGATGAACAATTAATAAGCAGATTATTTGGCGCAATTCATTATATGTCATCAGTTACTTCTTCACCGCCAATCCACACACTCGTAGCCAACAAATCCTGGTCTAGGCCTTCTAGGCGTAGGGCCTGGTCCTGGAGTCTCGGAAACAAGGTTGAATTTGTAAGTCCCGATTGTCCTGCCACGTATATCTCGTTTTCATTCTGCTCGTGTTCCGCCTTGTTCCTCGCCTAATTGCCGCCGAGGTCTCGCCCCTCGGAAGCATGCTTCCCATTTCTATGATGAGATGTATACTCAAATACACTTGCACCCCGGAAGCCGAGCTTTGCACAAAGCTAAAGCTGTAAAGTGCGATCGGAAATTATGCCCGATACCTATCCGGCGTCGGAATCGAGTCGGTTGAGTGAGAAGAATCAGGGATGCATACTGCGGGACTTTCTCCTCTTTACAAGCGTTTTTCATTTCGCTTGTTCCTAACCTTTCAGGTAATGTTTCCTCGCAACCTGTTCACCAAGTACCTGGCAGAAAATGGACCTGCAACATACTTAACGCCAGCCCCACTGAGATTCTGATAGACCATCCACATGCAACTGAACTTCATTGGGACTCTATTGATACAGTCGAACTTTGAACTTACCGTGTACCTACTTCAAAGCAGATGAAGCCGGTCCCCTTGTTCACACCAATGTGTGAAGACATACTTCTCCCGCATTTTTAAACCCGATCAGTCCAGCATCGTACTCAATACGTTCATTTCATCTTGTTAAATCCGATACTGGTGTATTATTTTTGTAACAAAGAAAGTGTGAGGGTACCTTCGAAGGTATGCCCATTCGCGTGCGCCGAAACGGGAGAAAAGAAGACGAGGGTAGAAAATAGCTTCAGACGGAAGCGCCATCCCTCCAAGTTCCATCAGCGCCCTTTCTCCACTCCGAGTCCGAGATGCCTTGGCATATATACTATGCACCCTCATTTCCCACTTCTGCTGAAAGAGACTGCCGAGCGAGTTGATCGGCTGCGATTGTCTCGGGAACAGGGAAGAAAGAATAGGCTTCGACGTCTTCTATGACTAAACAACTATTGTATTGGATTCGCCCCGAGCAATTAATTCATCGAGAGTTTTATCCTATGATTGGAACCCTCCATCCATTACACGAATGTATACCAGCGTCAAATTGCATCACTGTCGCATGTGTTCAACAGCCGAAATTAGCCATCTTTCTCTTGTTTCTTGACACTGATAGGGGCAAGACAAGGCTCTGCTGTCTACTTACATACTTTGCCATCGGGTGATACGGCATACATACGTGCGAGAACTCTCCTTTAATACGTAAAGGACACCAGCGGGGAAACGTACTCATTAATAATATCGGTGAATGTGAATGAAACTCAGGCTATCGTACCACCAGATGCGACCAGTTGCTTATAACAAAGACCAAGAGAACATTAACAACAGCATCGTGACCAGAATGGAACAAAAGGAAGACAAGATTGGAAAAGGAAGAAAGACTGAGCAACTATGCGTTCAGACCGTCTTCTCGGGAATCTGGTAAGATGTCCCACTGGCTTTGTCGTCGGTCAAGTGGTTATCGTGGACATCGCGGGCAGCGCCTGCAACCTGGTCAACCGCCTCTTCGCCGTCGAACAACGCAGCTGTTTCCTCGAGTGAACGGCCCTTTGTCTCGACGACGTAGAAGTAACAGAAGACGAGCTCGACCAAGATCCAACAGCAATACACGACGTAATATTTCCATCCAATAGCATCGAGCGCGATAGGATTAACATACTGGTTGAAAATAAGTGCAAGGGAGATCGTGAAGTTGAATACATTGAAGGTCTTCGCGCGAATGTTGTATGGCACAATTTCTATCGTATATGATACGATAAGTGGTGTGAACGCCAAACTAAGGTATGCAACGTTATCATGATAGCATGTCAGAATCGATGAAATCACATACTCGTAGGACGCATAGTACAAGAAAATGAATGCGATAACGGCGTGTGCTGCTTGATCGCTCCCTGTATTTGCAAAAACACCGGCACATGCAGTCTGAAGAGTGAAGAACACAAGCATGCCGATACATGAGGTAAGGAACAACAGACGACGACCAAGGCGCTCGACAAAGAAGCTCGCCATGATTGCGATTGCAAGGTTCCAGATTTGAAGGATACCATTGATTAGCAGCTGAGTCGTTGGGTCCGTGATGCCGATCGAATCAAAGACTTTGTTGAGATAATACGATACTAATCCGTTGCCCGACCACTGCGAGAAGAATGCGATAGCGACAACGATGCGTAAACGTTTGAGGTTTCCTTTTTTCGTAACAAGCGACTTCCAGCCGACATTAGCATTAACATGACGGTCGAGGTCGATAGCAGCTTTAATCTCTTCAAACTCGTACTGGACAAGAGGATCTTGTCTAAGCAGCGTGAAAGAGCGCGTGAGCATATGGCGAAATGTAGTGAACAGAACATTGGCTGAAGGAGAACATACTCGTTACCATCCGCATGATAATACGCAAGCGTTCTGAGTGCCTGAGCCTCTTTGCCTTTCGACACAAGGTAACGCGGTGATTCAGGAGCAAACCAGACGAGGGCCACCTGAATAACAGAGGGAAGTCCCTGCAGGAGGGAAGGCACTCGCCACGCCCAAGAAGTTGGAATTTTGAATGTACCATACGTTGACCATGCAGCGATGATAGCACCGGAGTACCAAAGCGAATTGTACACTGAAGTGAGAGCTGCTCTGTATGGCGGATATGAAATCTCGGAGACAAGCATCGGTGCGGAGTTCGTAGCAAACGTGAGACCAAAACCAATCATAAAGCGTGCACCAATAAACATGTTGACAGTTTGAGATGCTGTCTGAAGAGCAGTTGCACCGATCATAATAGCTGCTCCAACAAAAACGGTTGGCCTTCGCCCAATGCCATCCGAAAGATATGGCGCAAAGGGATAAGCAGCAAGAGCTCCGATGTTTTGGATAGCATTAAGAAGGCCAAGCATGGAACCTGACGGCTTGTTGAAGGCATTCTCCCACTGGTCGAGGGACTGTAGCCCGTTCATCATGCTCCCGTCGTATCCATTAGTTGAAGATGTGATAAGGCTGAATGACAAGGTTGAATAGTGAGTGGAACCCTGTGAAATCGGCAAAGGGCAGTAACACGTACAATAAGACGATCCAGGCATTCAGGCGGATAAGTCTGACAGAGAGCAGTCAATCTGAATAAGCCGAAGAGTATACTAAGGTGGCATGACCTCACCGCCAATTATTATACCACTTGCGATTTGGATCAAGAAGATGAGCGTAACCAGCATATATTTTCTCGCTAGCTACAGCACCAACGCCCATGTTTGTCGGGAGATAAGCGATGAGAAGGGGGATGAGTTGGCACAGGCAGTGCTGAGTACGAGCTTGATGCGGGAAGTCGCATTTTATATTCTATAGTTTTCTGTGATAGTGGTCAGGAACGCAGAGCGCACGGGATCATTAGAAGGTCCACTTGCTTCAATTTGCTTGATGGCCGATCAGCTGATAACCACATGTTTGTTTCCCCACAGTTTTCCCACATCATCTTAAAAGCAGAAACAGTTCTCCCCCGTTCTCTGCTAATTTGTTCCTTAATCCATAAAATTCTTAGAAAATCCGAGCCAGTGTATAAAAAATGGAAGTACTCACCTCAAAGCAAGTCTCTCGACCTTTCAAGTGCAAAACTAAACTAAACAAACGCCATACAAAATCTCTTGTTGCACATGGAATTTCCATGCTCATCATTAGGGACTGTATGATACGGGGAAACATCGGAACAAGACTCGGATGTTACACATTTTCGTGCTTTCTAGGCGATCGGTTACCCGATGCCTCTACAACAACATTTCACGGACCGCAGCGTCCCGCTCATCTATTACAATGGGCTTCTCAGCGTGTTCGACCACCATCAAGGGCTCGGCATCATTCATTGTGATTTGGTTTGTTTCAATAGGCGATGTGCTTGCTCCTTACCCGTAAGAGTGGCCAAAGCGCAGAGGTTTCAAGTGGGACTGGAACTTTTGAATGAATATTAGAATAACCTAAACTTGCAGGAACATGCTAACTTGAACGTCTGAAGAGGAACGTTGTGTTACGTACTATTAGATTGCGCTCTGGATTAGGAAATCCCCAATTGCCTTATGTAGAGTTACCATCACGAAAAAGTCTTAAGTATTGTATTCACTTGTAATCCTATACATTTTGTACCTTTTATAAATTTTACATTATAAGCAGATATTATACTTTCACAAATTAATAATTATGTCTTAGCCTTGTAATCTTAGGAAGTATGTTATAATCACTTGTATAACTTGACAATTTATATTATTATAATTGTAATTGTCAAGTTTTACAAGTATTCTTGTTTACTTATTTAACATTGTACTTTCCTTGCTTAACCCCCTATGAAGATTATATTAACATTCTACAAGTCATTACAAGTGTTTGAATAGCTTGCTTTTGCTTAGTATACAATTTTGTATCAAATAATTAATCAAATATAATTATATTTAAATTATAGAATACAAAAATAGTAAATAATACACTATTTCTACAGTCCCAACCCCTGCACCACTAGCTGCCTCTGTCTCATTCTTCTGCGAGTGGGATTTGTGTTGGAAAAGGATGAATGCATTCTCAGGCCGTTCGACATAGTCTTCGTCACCATGTTTTGGTTGTCGCTCGGTCCCTGCAAGTTGAATTGCGAGCGTGTGTGAATTGAGGTCGAGCAGGTTGTGGTGATTGAGGCTGCGCCTGTGAGACGAGTTTAGAGTGATTAGCAAGTGAAAATAAGAGAGAGAAAAAACGCACTGCGACAGTGTGCAGCAAGTGTCGGTGGGTCGACCTGGGTTGGAATCCGGAGTGTTGAGCGAGCTAA